AAGATGGGAATTGTGCTTTCAATTCCCCTTTCAATCTGAAACCTCTACGTCAAATTGAATGCAAACTATTAGTCTCTAGGAATTTACTAAATGAGACTTTTTACTCTTATTTTGCAGACAGCAAGGGAAAGTTTCTGGAAAGTTTTCTGTCTGGGTCATGACGTTATTTCGACAGTCTTTCTGAGTTTGCGTTTGAAAGTTGCCATTTGGGAGAGCCGCTGGTTAAAGGTGGTGTTTGTAATGTTCCCCTTCTTTCCTTTTCAGCTTTCCCTGAGGTCATGGTCATCTGGCGATTTTTGTCAAGCGGACTCTGTGTCTGCAGCAGCACATGTTTCCGTCTCGCTCCCTCTTTAACGGTTATTCTGTTTAAGTTGGCCGGCGTCCAGCTGCAAGGTGTGTTCTGTTTGTCTGGGTTGCTCCATGTTAGTTTCCTGAGCAGGTCGACTTTTCTTCTCCTCTTTTCTTTTCTGACTCTGCACCAGTTTGAATTCAGCATTTATGTGTTTCGACCAATCCGAACAGAAGAACATCTCCGCCGTCCCTCTGATTGGTTCATTTAAACCTTTGAGGGAAAGGTCGCAGGCTGACGTTTGAGATCAGAGCAGGTCAAGTTGAAGTGCTGACGTGACCCAGTAATCGTTTTTTTTTTACCTCTTATCACATCTTGACTGTAACTCATTTGCTGTGCTTTGGAAACATTAACAGATGTTTTTGTCATGTGCTCCCAGTTCAGGAGCTCCGGTCCGTTCTCTTTGTTGTGACTGTAGTGAGGATTAATCTGCGTCAAATTATGTTGATTGCAACAAATCGCTTTCATAATCTTATCAAATTCAGTCTGAAGAGAAGATTGTTTTCCTTTCCAGTGAGACTTTAAAACGGCAAAGGTAGCATAACATCTCTGGACATAATGTGTGATTCTGAATTGAGTTAAAAGAATGAAATTTCAACACATGATTCGAAGATAAAATGACAAGAATGAGATTATCAAGATGAAGGATTGAGATGGTAATCAGTAAAGTTAACAATCCACTTCTTTATCTAAAAAATACAAAACGGACCAAGAGCAAACACTCAAAGATTCAATCGCTGAAACTGGCTAAAGGAGCTTTTTGGTTTCCAAAATGAAATTTGTATTTTATGACCTTTTTCAGCATAACATTAAAACGAAAACCTAAGATGAAGAAAATATTAGGCTAAAGTCTTGAGTCGACCCGTCTACAGATTTTGCTGGATGACAAATTGCCCTAAAAGTCCTTATGATAAACAAATATATTGTTGTTTTGAGACCATTTTAAAGGAATAGTGATGGGGTAATAATGCAATTACGCCCTGTTGGAGAATAATAAATTTTAGTTTCTAACACTAGAACTGGAAGCCATGTTAAATATCCAAAATAAATAAACGGAACAACTGAAGCAACAAATAAAATGGATGCTGCCGTCTCTGGGAACGAAACTTTCCTTCAGTAAAGAGGCTAATTGAGACCAAACAACCAGACTGAATAATTTTTGTCATCCAGCGTCTGGACTGGATGAGAAAAACAATCATGCAGAACTATTGAGCTCGTTTTAATTTATTGTGCCGTTAATTGATTTATTGCTTACCGTGACGAGCTTTGTCTCGAGGCCACAGTTCTGATCTGTCGGCTTTCCCAGCAGCAGCTCCAGCGAACAAACTGTGGTTCAGGAGTAACTGCAGGGAAATCGGAGGCAGCTTGTCTTTTGGATTTATGATGAAAATATTTTGTGAAGGCTACCGTTTCCCATGCTGACATGTATAGTGATATATTGTAGTGTGTGTGTGTGTAAGTGCTAGACCAGTGGTGTGAAACTCAGCTTCATTTTGGGCCATATGAAAATGATCAAACTGCTAAAATATTAATAAATGGCTCTCTGCGTTTGAAGAGTCTAAATGTTGAACATTGATATAATTTGGCAGAATACAGAAAGAACTGCTTTGATTTGATTGATAAAATAATATTTAAGCACACAGTTGTTATCTTGAAAGTTCACTAGAGTCTGGATGGCCTTATAAAAACTCACGGTGGGCTGGATCTGGCCCCCGGACCTTACGTTTGACACGCGTCTAAATCTAAATGAGGGGAAATGAAGGAGATTTTTGTGAAACGTCAAGTCCTCCCACTTTTTCATTGCTGCAATATTTAAGACACGCGTGTCAATTGCTTCACGGTGCTGTTCACGTTTCAGGATGTTCCAACAACATGAAAAGATCTCCTGTGGTGATCAGTGTACAGGCCGCAGATGTGCAGCAGAAGGATGCCGTCGCACTAAATGAAAATCCAACAGCATAATTAAAGTTAACATCCAAGATGTGCACTTTGCTACACTCAGATTTACGTCCAGTCCTGATCCACGCAGGGCCAGAATCGCTGCCTGTTATCGTGAGGTCTGGTGCAGAAGCCTGAAGCTGAGGCAGTTTTTATATCCCGGTGATGAAAAATGAATTGGTCTGCCCTAAAACTTGGCAGCCGTTGTGCAAACCGTTTAATCCCATCGTGACATTTACTCAGCAGCGATCTGGACAGCGTGGTAACAGACGGCTCCGTCAGTGTTTGGTTAGTGTGAGAGTGTCTGCCTGTGTGGGCATGTGAAACAGACGCTCCCCGCGTCTCTTTGTTCTGTCTGATTATTTTCCCTTCTTCCTTATCAAGCATTGTTATTTCTAGTGTCTCATATCATCTCTCTGGCTGGACTGGAACCAAGAAAACCAGTTTCTGACTGCTACAGTCTTTCTCATTACCGCCTATTTTTTTTTCTTTTTTCTTGTGAGTCAGCAGGAATGTGAGGAATGACCTGCACGTTTCCCACCCAGCTTTCATTTGCCCATTTTTAGGCATACCCAAGTGCTTCCTCCCCTCTTTTCCGTTCTTTTCCCCCCACATTGTCATCCTCAAAGCTCTTATTCCTCCGTCTTCTACTCTCCAGCCGTCTTTTTCGTCAGCTCAGCACTTTACATTTCCACAAATTACAGTATATAAAGAAGGCTTCTCTGAGCCAGTGCATATTTTGTCAAACCGCAGCGAGACCTCAAAACTGCCGGCCATCTTCGTCACTGAGTCGACCCTCTTCCTCCTCTTCTTCTTCTTCTTCTGTCTTTGGGCCTGGCCGGGGGCATGCCGGCTCTCGTTTCGGCAGATCAGCATGTTGAGCTGAGCTCAACAACAGCAGCCTTTAGAAACTCTGGGCAAACAAAGATTTCTGTCCTGACTTGGTCCATTAGGTGCATTTTTAAAGTGAGTGTCTGATCGCAGGTTTTATTAAAAAGGAAAAAAAAACCATGCCAAGGAGCTCCTCGGCTCTGCGTGTGCAGACAGGTTCCTGCTGCAGACCCACAGAGGGAGCCCCCGCCACACCAAACTCTCTGCTTCCTTCTTGATAAGATAAAAGCATCCAGCTTGTCGAGGGGCGGCGCAGCCGTCCTCGGGTGTGCTTTTATAGACTCCTTAATTGCCCCTCTTCTGCTTGAAAAGGAGACATTTTCACTAATGCTCACTCAGAGTGATGAAATGGACTCGTCACACAGCTGAATCTGTGGGGTCTGCTGACGACGTTGGAGAGGAAAACACCTGAACGGCAGGTTGACCTGCGGAGCCAAACACTCTTATGTTTGCAAAGCTGAGGCACAGCTGTCGGCGGTTCTGTTTCTCATCCTTGGCTCCCTCCCCCACGCCGACCCGTCTCGTCTCATTAGTGGAGTCAGAACTCGACTCTGGCCCTTTAACTTCACCGCCACACATCAGAAATAAGTCTGGGTTCATTCAGGGCGGCACGCCTCCAGCCTAGAACCTGATCTGGTTAAAAGTCTGAAAGGTGCTTTATAGTTTGAAAGCTAAAAAAATAATTACATACAGAGAGACTCGCAGTAACGTCCTGCAAGTTAAGGCTGCTGGCTCTGCTGTTATCACATTTACCACCCTGGAGCTCGGCAAAAACTCCAGGATTTTGACTTTTTTTTTTCCAGTTTTTCTTTTATGCAATCAAAATCACAGGTTTTGTTGTGCTACTTTAGAAATATTTGCAAGAAATTTTGTTATTTTTCCAACTTAAAATTACAATTCATTTAGTTAAATCAGAAATCCACATACAGAAGAAAATGCCAGTCGCAGCCTCATTGGTCCAAAGTGTGCAAAATAATTTCCCCTGTGCTCGTGGATGGCAAAGAAATGCTGTTTCTTCTGTCTTTTTGTGTGATGGTAATTGTTTTTTGTTACTGGCCTTATCGATCACAAACAAAAACTTGAGATCAAGTCAGGTTGAGGCAGCAGTGTAGGTTGCTGTGAACGTTTTTGTTGTCCGTCAACTTGTCTGATGGGGTTTTAAAAAAAATCCATCATCTATCTTTGCCCGTCAGTTTTTAAAATAACAATGGCATATTGACCTTTAGAAATAATCCTGGCGCAGTTTAAATGGCACATGGCCTTCATTTGTCAAGTCAGAGGACTCCAAAGCCCTTTACAGTCAATCTAAGTGAAATGTCTTGGCCAACGCACAGTGACTGAGACAAACAAAGCGAGGATTTGAACCAGCAACCCACTGGTTACAGGACAAACAATCCTCTCTTCAACAGAGTCCACACAATCGGGAAGCAATTATTTCTCAATAAACTCCAGAATGAAGCAAACGGCATAGAGAAAGGGACTAGCTGAGATAAAGTCCAGATCTAAATACACTCACAGACTGGAAAATCATTACTAATTACTAGTTGAGTGACTTCTGAAAGCAGTTGTCTGGACTGCATTTAATTTCAGGGTATGAGAGTAAACGGGTTTGACGACGGATGACCGACACTTTTTGCAAGGCGCTGAACTTGTGCTCGGTCACGTCTTCATGTCTGACAAAGTCTCTCCAGTAAATCATGCAAATGCGCAGCGCAAGAGAAAAGTCGTCGCTTTTTGCAAGTCAAATTTTTTTTTTTTGCCATCTTTATCGGCGCACCGTTTCGCTCTCGAATCCGTTGTCATGCTCGTCGTCTCGTTGCAGCTGGACGGAACCCTGGATCTGGACGAGAGACGCCTCATCCGTTCAGCCATCCGGGAGCTGAGGAGGCGGGAGATCGAGGACATGGAGGCCGCTCTGGCGAGCAAGAGATTCAGACCAACGCGCCTCAATCAGCAGGAGGACAAGGAGAACCAGCACAGGTGAGTTCACACACGCGCACACACACACACACACTCCCACTGATCCCAAATGAGAAATACCTCAAACCAGGTGAAACCGAGGATTACGAATCCAGATGTGGAACTCCTCGACCGTTGGTGGGGAATGGGGGGGGACTCACAAGAGACGGAAAACCGCAGCCGTAGTAAATTTTTCCTTTTTCCACTTTTCTGTGCTCACATTTGAGGTCCCTGCTTACAGTTCCATTAATTTCCCTCTTTCTCGACCAGCTCGGTGTTTTTCCAGCTCATGAGTGAACTGATCCCAGCAGCTGTCACGCTGCAGAGGAATGTAGATGGACCGATATGTCGGCTGTAGCACTTCTCCACCTCTTCATCTTTTTCTATAAACATGTTTCTGCCCGTCAAATCCAACAACAAACAGGCCAGAGGTTTTCCATCACTTTTCTGCATCACTGTGATTATTGGTTTTCTTAAAATTTATACTCATTTTAAATAATAATTAAAAAAAAACAAAAAACTCTGGTGTTGTGAATTTATCTGCAGTGATAACATCTTTTTAAGGCTCTTGATACTGAAACGTGGTGTGCGTTTTCTTCTTACTTTGATTGTGTTCATTCAGGAGATCAATTCCTCCATGTCAAACTCAATGACTCAAGCTGAAAGCAGTTTATCCATTGTCGTGTTTACATTGATTTGCAGCATAATAAAGTCAGCTGCAATAAGGAAATAAAAAGCACATAATAACAACAGTTGTATAAATGTACTAGTCTGTTTACATCGCCCATCTGGACATTGCAATATCTCCCTCTCTTCTTTGAAGCAGTTTGACAAGACTATCAAGTTGAGAGGACAGCTGTTGTCCCTCTTCAGGCAACTCAATTTTTCTGTCAATTTTAGCTCTTGATTCTGGTTCTGCTGTTTCAAAACTTTGTTTTTCCACTGATGAAGTCATCCTGGTGACTACTGAGATAAATTCAGACTCAGAGCAATGCAAAAAACAAAAACAAAAAAACAACAACAACAAAAAAAGCATAATAAATGTCAATATTTGTCAAAAAAACAACAACTTTGAAATGATTTTATTCCATTTTCTTCTTTGCTCTTGATCTTTTAATAACACGAAACATTGATTTTAATCATTTCTTTTGGGACTGTGGAGAGCTGCTCTGTCAGTGAGACTGTGAAAGTCGGTTGCAGATTAATTGATTGTGCATGTCTAGTTTGGCTGGTTGAAATCGTTGAATCCTGAGTGAATTTAAGGTCAAGGCTACATTAATGTCACAGCATGTGGTTTGGACCAAGAAACACTTTAACGTTATTTGATGTCAGGAGTACACTGAGCACTCTACAGTGTTTTTTTGGTTCCCCCCCCCTCTCTCTCCGTCACCAAGTCCTCTTAACAGAGGTAATCATTCCCATTCACGTCGGCACTCAGGACTCGGGTTACAAAAATAACAGAGGTGCTTCGCTGAGGCTGCTGGAAAAATCCTACCTGCTGTCGCACATCCACTCGCGTTGGCTCACAAAAAAATAAAAAAAATCCAGCTATTATTGTCTCGCACCTCTCGTATGTGGAATGTGAAATATTTAAACTCCAGCAAGCAGCGCATTATTCAAAGCAGGGAATGGTGGGGAAAAAATGAGCATAATGAGGGAAGAGAGAAATGAGTCAGAAAGAAATGGAGTAGTCTGAGGCCAGCAGACGACTGCACACGGTTTGGGTCGCTGCTCGTAACGTCCACGCTTTGCATTCCTGAGTTTGTTTCTTCAGGCTGTGAAAACTGCGTGCTGTCCTTCTTAATAACAAACGAACTGCTTTATTTTAAATTTTTGTTTATTTTTCTCAGATCAGAATCCAGCAACAACTTGGACGTTCTTTCGCAAAAGCTTCAGTCGATCCAGGACGTTGACGAGCTCACAAAAATGGTGACATTTACAATCAGTCTGTCTTGTTGATTCTGATGCTATTGCTGCATTTTGGTTACATGGATGCACTGGGCATTTATTATCCTGCAGCTTCGTGCTGCAGCCGAGTACGAGGAGAGGAAGATGATCCGAGAGGCGATCCGACGGGTCAGGGATGAGCAGCTGCAAGGTGAGCCGAGATTTGTTCGTCAGGGAAATTTTTTCCGATGAAGGTTAATTTTTGGGACCCGTTTGTGGATTAAAAGCAGCGATGGGCTGGAAAGACCCTGAATGAAAGTATTTTCCCACAGCTTGATAAGTATAGGAAGAGATTAGGGCATGGAAAAAAGTCTATTTGTCTTTGTGTTTTTTTTTTGTTTTTCTTTATTCCCAATTCCATTTTCTAACTTTCTAACATTAATCCGTCCGTATGTCTGTCCATCCATCCTCCATTCATCCATCTCATCTTTCAGCTCCTGAACAGCTGAAAGATGGATAGAACCGTTTGCAGGCTCAACATTTAAAGTGTGATCGTTGTAGTAATATCAGGAACTGATTACTTGTAAACATTTTGTATTTGTGCTTCAGAAATTGGTTAAAAATTTTGTGGGAAATTTGGAAATTTCAACCTGGAGAAGCCTGGAATTTTGACATTGAACAGTGTACAAAACCTACATGAATAATTTAACTTTAAAAAAAAATTGGATGTTTTTAAAAAATCAAAGTTGAAATGTTAAATCCCATTGGAAAATATAGATGAACTATTCTGTGCACCATCAGTTTTGTTGGCTAGCGAGGACTTGAGCGATGACGGAGTTTGACCTGAGGAGGGCGTTAAACTAAAGGTAAAACTCTTCTTACCCACCGGCTGGATTAAACACCAGGGAAAGACATGTTCACTGTTCTACACGAACATGAAAACGATTCAGATCTGCTGTATGATTCCTGATTGAACAATTCCTCTCGCTGCTTGGAGCCGCCGGGCCTCGCCCTGCCTCAACCCTTGAGCAAACTTTAAGAAAAATGAAAACAAAGCAGCTCCCACCTTGTCAGGTCATGTCAGTACGACTTATCTCATCAGTGTCGACGTCAGGCTACACGCGTTCTCGCGTGTTTCTTTTGAAGCGTCTGAGCTCTACCGTTGTGTGTTTGCAGAGTCTGCGGAGAAGAGCAAAGTTTCCATCTGCCGCCTAGAGCCGGAGAGCGCTGCGCCCCAGAGCATTGTGGGAGCTGCGGTGAGTACATCGCCGCCAATGAAGCAATCAGGGTTTAATTGAGAAAGGCATCCCGGCGCGTCTGTTGGGTAAGATACGGAGGATCCGTCGTCGGCCTCCAGCGACTGGAATGATCCGAGCGTGGACCAGTGTGCGGAGGCAGAGTTTGTCTTGCATGACAGCCGTGGCCACTGAGGGTTTTTCTTTTTCTTTTCTGCGGACCCATTGAAGAATGCAGCGAGGAACAACAAGAAGGGCCATTGTCGCTTGAGTTACGGCTGCGGCCACAGCAGGCGCGTGCACCAACACTCGGGGAAAACGCACGGCTCAGCCGCCACGGACTCAGGAATGTGTTTTGTTTTCAAAAATCCTCCTAGCGAGATCTGGCTGAGGTTGGAGGGGAGGATGCAATTCGCCTCGACTTTGCTGTTTACTCCAGGCCATGTGTTTTTCTCTGGCAGTCAGCAGCTTACTTGTTTTTAACTGTGCAGCCATTCATAACCTGAAAGTAAAATCTTGCACCTGTTTGAATTGTCCTTTAGAGGATTTCTTCAGATTTGTCTCACTGTAATGACAAAGCTTTGAAACGTGAACGCCTGAGGCTCATGCAAGGGTCTAGATTTTATCTTGACTGCTGATCCTGGGAGCTCCTGATAAATGCTCTGTGGAGGAAAGTTACATTTTATCATATACACACACTTCAGGCAAAACTGTGGTTTTCAACGAGGCAAAGTGACAACTTGCACAGAACCCTTCATTCAAAAGGTCATCCTGAGTCCTTTATGGAAAACAACATGAACTGGAGTAAAAGAAAATCTCATAAAAGAATTAAAATGAAAATAAAGAAACACCAGAAATGTAGATGTGAGATGAGTAATTTGCTGAAACCTGATAAAAAAGTAACTGATAAAATAATCTTTGACCTTTTTTTGTAGGAAAGTTGTGGTTAACAGGAATGTTTTCAATCCTGATGGCTTCTGCACATCTCAGGGAGTTTTTTTTTTTTTCCAAAGCAAAAAGATTAGAAACATAAAACTAGGTTCACATTTGATCTACAACGTATTGCCTGTGTCGTCAATGACCTTTAAATCATCTGTTCGTCATGGAAATAGTTGAGTAATTTTAAGGAATGAACGGATCCATTTTTCTGGTTCTGGTCAGGACTTTTTGCAGAAGTATTTTTGGATGTCCTGCAGCTTCCTGAAGTGTTCCCGTCGTGTTCGGCCCTAATCCACATTAACTGCTTGGGTCGCTGCAGTTTTCAGGACTTGAGGTGAAAATATGTCCTGCATCAATGCAAAGTTCTGTTAGTTCATTTTAAAACGGACACCACAGTGATGCACCGAAATGCTTCACTGCATTGTTTTCTGCAGCCAATGCGTGTCTGTGTCCCCCCCCTCTCAGATAGCAGGATGTCAGAGCGAACAGGATGCGCTAACGTCTAGGCCTTGTACCTCACTTCCTGTCGGACAGCTGAACGGCGTTGAGTCAGTTGTAGAGATGAATAAGTGGGGATGTGTGTTTTTTTTATTTTTTTTATTTTAACTTTGGTCTGGGAGAAGACGAGGCCTCCAGCTGTGCCCTTAGCGGTTTAGTCTTCACCAGAGTGGGGATGTGGCCAAAAACGACTCCAGCCAGCAGCAGCAGGGCTCCTCCACTCACATCACAGCCGCCAATCTCTTTGAGCTCTTCGCAATTGTCTCGCGGAAGATGGTGGTCCAAGATACGCCCCAGCGGTAGACGGTCGCACGCAATCGGAGGCAATGTGATGGCTGCCTCTCATCCGGGCTCTCGCTTTGCTGCCAGAGGAAAGTTGCTCTTAAATCTCTACTTTATCGCCATTCATTTGCTGTTTAGTTGGTTTTGATGACATGCAGGGATAAATAAGATAAAGTCAAAGCTTCCTTTTTATTTCATTAGCTTTTTTAAAAAGTTGTTTCTATGGCAAAGAGAACTTGGTTTAAGACTATAAAGTTTATTATGGAAAGCTACAAACATAAAGTTATCGAGGTGAAGTTGATTTCTATGAAAAATGAAGGATTATAGAGAGGAGGAGGTCAAAGCAAAGGCAGAGGGTCAGAAGTTAATGTGTCAGCCAGGCAGCTCTAACCTGTAGGGGAGGGGTGTGTGTGTGTGTGTGTGTGTGTGTGTGTGTGTGTGTGTGTGTGTGAGAGATGGTGTTTTAGCAGTTCTCACCTTTTTTCTCAAAAGCGCCACGTTGTGAGGACTCGCTGCTCTTTAAGCCCCATAAGACGAAGTGTTGCTCCAGGGTTCGGGATGTACTGGTAATGTTTAGGTTTAGGGTCAAGATTAAGGTTAAGCTAAAGAAATGAATGAATAAAAGTTAATACAAAGTCCTTGTGAAGACAGAAAGTCGTAATGTGTGTGTGTCTGGGAGGGGGGTGAGGGGGGGATCACTTCCCTAAGGAGACAGCTTGGGAGGGAGGGGAAGTCAAGGGAGTGGCTTGTTGGTATTGTGTGTGTTTGTGGTGGTTGTGTGTGTGTGATGTGGCGGAGGGAGCAGAGCGGCAGAGTAGTGGACATCCTGACTCCAAACAGGTTTCCACTGAGAGGCACTGGAAGAGACTGGAACTGGGGCAGTAGGTCTGAGGAAAAGGAGGTAAACGTGACTCAGATTTTCTTCCAGCTGGACCGACTCTCCAGATCAAACGCTCGCCTGACTTTCTGAACCTTTCTGGTTTCTCCTCTGAAGCCTAATCAGGAAGGGTTTCCTTAATCAGTCTGAGGCTATCTGATTGGAAAGTGGGACGTGCCTGGCTCTGTGTTTACATTTCAGGTCGGTACATTCAGGTCCGTCTAGCAACAGATTGGATACTCGTCACTACATCAGTTATTTACGGCTTCATTATAGAATCAACTAATGTTGAGTCGACGTTGCAGGGGGAAAATCTTTTTCTTTTTTAAAAAAAAATATATTTACTGCATTTCATCTGAAAGTGGATGCGTTCTGCCTGCTGTTTAGGTGAGTCCAGGTAGGCAGCTGTTTGGTTCCAGACGGTCTTGCTTGTTCTTGTCTGTCCTGTAAGCATTTTGCAAGAAGAGACCTGAAGAAACAGGAGCTTAATTCTTTGAAACCAAATCCGGCGCTTGCAATAGCGAGGGATTTAGTTGTGTTTGGAGACGAGAAGAGAGAAGAAATTTGATAAAAGGGGTGGAAAAAAAAAATCCCAAAGGTAGATCATGCCGGTATGCAGTGAATCGTAGTGAGACTCTGAGCCGAGGACTTGTGGTGGTTTCCTCAGATGATTGCTACTGTAGCGAAGTCACTGGAGTCCAGCCAAGTGAGCTGTTCATCCGGCTGCAGTAATGGAAAGTGAGCCGCCAGGTTCCTATATTTCCCCGTCATATGAAGGCACAGAGGACCCCTCGACTCACTCGGGTCTAAAGACCCGGCTTCCTGCACCGGCTGCTGAAGGAAGTGTGTTCCTCACTCTGTCGTTTTTACGACTTATTTTTTCTTTTTCTTTTTTCTTTTGCTGACCTCAGAGGACTCTCATGTCCCACGCCTTCCTGCGGTGACCAGGAGGGCCAGCTGTTCTTTTTTGTTTTTTTGTTTATGAGTTTGACACAAACTGAGATGGGGCCAGGTTCGGTTTGTTGCATTGTGGGTCTGCGTCGGTGCAGCTCAGTCGGGTCCTGGCCGTCGGTGCCGGAGGGAAGCCGCTAATGACAGCATGGTGGCTGGCAACAGGTCTGCACTTTGTTTTTATTTCCACTCTATCTTTTTTTTCACCCTGCCTCACCGTCTGTGAGAAACCCGTTCCCTGTGGTTTTACTGGGAGCTTTGAAAAGACGGCTGTCTGACCGCTGGTTTGAGCAGGGCAGAGTTGGAGGGGGGGAGACTCGCACTCTTTAATCGAGTTGGTGGCTCAGGGACAGTCATCCCCCCGCCCCCTTCTCCCTCCGTGAGTCTTTGATTGAATGCTTTATTGTGGAGAACAGTGGCCTTTGTTAGTCATCTTGAATTACTTTACTTTTGTGCTTTCTCTCTGTTGTTTCTCCTCTAAACTCATCAAACACTTTAAGGGCTCATTAAGGGAGCGTTCAGCTAGATTACTGCTTCCCACTGTGGTGTCTCTGACCTTACTAAAGTCTTAGGAGGTCAAGGACATGATTTGGCTCACCAGAATGAAGTCTGGGTTTCTACAGAGAAACTGCTTTAGATCATCTTTTATGCTCTCTTTGGTTGTCAATTTTCTGAAGACTGAACTCTGATTTCAGCTTGAAAACTTAAGCGAAACGTTGCAGAAGTAACTTGCCTTACAAACGTATTTGCAAATTTAGAAGGTTTTTCATTTTTTTGCTTTGAACAAATGGTAATCTGAAATGCTTGGCATAACTGTGCACTGCACCCCTTTTACTTTGACGCTCCTAAATAAGAGTTTATGCCATCCTCATGACAAAAAATGTTAAAATTAAAGTAGATTTTGAGGTCAGGATGCTCCCAAGCCTTTTGAAACTTTTTGCTCATTAATTTTGTAAATTGTCTTGGTGTCTGCACGCCAATGTGTGTAGTTATGATTTAAGAGTGCAAATGCATGTGGAAGAGTGTACGCACGTGTTTCTTGTGTTTGTGCAGCTGATTCTCCTGAAGAGGAGCTTGAGGTCAGACAGTCCTGTCGGTAGCTTTCCTCTCCCACACCTTATCCATCTCTCTTCCATGTGCTGAATCGCTGCTGCCGCTCAGAAAGCTGCAGCATTGTGTTGCAGTCGCGCTGGATGCAGTGCTGCCCTCTAATTCTAAAGCTTTTGACCATCAATTGCAGAAAAAAAAAACAACAAAACAAAAACATATTGGAAAATCTTTAAACTGATATGGGTTTGCATTGTGAAAGTGGTGCATGCATTGAGTCTCTGAAGAGCGAAGAAGAATAATGCTTTCACAGCTGTAGTGAAGATTTCCTTTTGTTTTGTCCACAGCAGTCAGAGAGTCGCCCTGATCTCCGTGCCCCGATCCAGGAGCTGCACACCCAGCAGGCGCAACACGACAGAGAGCTGCAGAGGAAAGGTAGGGCCGCAAATTTTAAATTAATCTTCTCAAAAATACTAAAACCCATAAAAAAAAAAAAGTCTCATGTTTATTTGAAAAAAATAAAACGTATGAAATTAAGATTTTATTTTCAGTGGATTATATTGTCTATGGGTTTTTGTTGTCTGAATCATATTTTTGAAATAAATTGTTTTATTTAACCCTTTATGACTTGAGTTTCAAATCTCCGCCTGGATATCTTTGCTTATTTTAATCGTACGCAGTTCTTTAAATGTCCCGTGATTTAATATATTTGTCCGTTTATCCATAACAACTGGAATTTTCAATATGTAGCGAGTTATTGGCAGAATTACGGAACTGCAAATTTGGCTGGATTGTTGACGACATGTTGGATCTGAAAGGGTTAAAGACCCGCCAGTCGAAGATTTTACCGCCAATTTTCACATCCCTTGTTTTTGAGGGCTCTGATCTACTGACTTTGAGCTGCAGGTGGCATTGAAATAGCACTGCACCATATACGCAGAATATTTGATTGTCATCTTGCTGAGAATTGGATAACACCAAACATTTTAAATGTCCTTTGATTTCATTCTTTATTTTAAAGTTATTTGCTAGATCAATCCTTTCACTATCGCAGGCGTTTCGTCTGCAGCCTCTGCTCAGCTTCAAGCGTCCTTCAGTGTTTGAAGAAAGCAGCTTTTTCTCTGCGTGTTGATTATCGCCCTCACCTCCACGCTTCCATCATGTTTACATATCACACTCTGGGCATCGGTGAAATGCAAGAAGCGAAGTGTATAAACTGCAAACATCCGCCTGAAGGTCAACTGTGGGTAAAAATCCGTTGAAACACTGAATCCACACTGAAGCGTTTCCCTCTCTGCTGAAGGAGCCGTTCTCCTGCCGGTCAGGAGGTCGTATTAGTTTAGGCACATTAAGCTTATTCATCCGACTTTATTAAGTGTTTGGAGTTGGTCACAGTCTGATTTTTGAAGCGTGGGCAGGAATGAATGCATTTCGTTCACCAGAATCGTTGAATCTACATGGATATTGATGAAAAGCAACAATGATCTGTTGTTTACAAGCAGCAAAGCGGTTTAAAATGTTTATACATTTCTCTTTATTGGCCAGAGGAGCTGCATTTCATCCTCTAAGTGTATTTCTGTTGTTTACCTAAGCTTCTGCTCGGGGCGAAGGTCGTAACAAACGTCTTTCTGTGTGGTCCGGCCAGGGCGGGGCTCTGTGTCCTTCACAGTGACCAGGGCTTGGTGGTGTGGGGTTTTCGGGAGGAACACGGAGAAAACCCAACAGCCACACCTCTGCTAAATAAATCCATTACCACAACAAAACGTGGGCTGTCCCGACGTGGCAGAAAAACTCCCCAGTGTTCTCGATTTATCCGTACCGTACAATTTAAGTCAGGGTGAAACCAGGATCAGCCGAAGATGACCACCGTAGAAAAGCAAAGGGAGAAGGTATACTTTAAAGGGACACGTCAACAAAATCAGTGGGCTGTGGTCAGGGTGGGACTGAAGCTGTTGAACTGTTTGAGTGAAAGTGGGAAAAAGTCGTTCTTTTTCTATTTGGAATACACAGCTTCCTTCCTGACCTAAAAAAAAAAGAAGCGTTTATTTACACTCTTGCCTTAAAGCAGCAAACGTCCAGCTGCACTGGACTGCAGCAAAAACTGCTCCGTGTAAGTCTATGATTTAGGAAATGAAATGTTTTCAGAGGCTCTCTGTGGACCTGACCTTGCATTTTAAGGCCCCAAAAGAAACTGAAACACACTTATTACAGTTTCACACAGAAACGCAGCGAGGGAACACAGGTTGGGCCAAAATGCACACACAGTTTTAGAAGCTTTTGTTCTGCTTTAAATAAATCACTGTGCAACAGCCGTGGACTGGTTAGCAGCACCCAGTGATGCCAAATCCATCAACAAGCTATGGTCTCATATTTTGATTTAAGGTTCTTTTATTGAAATGCCACAAAAAATGCAGGAGTTTTGTCCAGGTGTCCAAATAAATCATGGTGCTTTTTTCTTTGCACTAAGAAGTTGAGTTCCTTGTGTGACTTGTGTAGCTCAGCCGTTCTGAAAGGTTGAAGTGGAGGGAAAACCGGGGAAAACTGGTGACCATTTAAACTAAATAAACGATTTGTCGTATACGGCTACAATCCTCGAACTTTCCCCCAGGCACGCTCAGGGAAAGTTGCTTCAGCTGATCTTGTTTTTATAGATAATTTTCTAAAATTAGTAATTTTTATTCTTTGTTTTGTTGGGATTTGTTGATAGTTTGAGGCTCACAGACCAGATACACACAGCAGCCAACATGGACCGTCTTCACTCTGAACATGAACACAGATGTTCAGAAATGGACTTGGGTCTCAAAAAAAAAACAACACAGTTTATAATTAGTTGGATGCACAATTTTCAGCTGACAAAATCGCAGTTTAGCCAGGACCTGTGATGTAAAAATATCACGATTAGCTGTCCAATCCAGTAACTGTTACTGAGCTGGGACTTCCTTTGTAAGAAATTGTCTTTTTGTATAACATCTGACCTCTTAGGTTTTAAAATAATTGCTTAAAAACGTGATTATGTCCCCTCGATAAATGTGAACATTTCTTTGCCTCGACATTTGTGGGTGGCAGTGAAGACTCGACAGGAATCTTGTTTCGTAAATAAAATGGTTTATCAAGTTGCGCTTGGACGTTGCTAGCGGTTGTCCTGAGCGAAGAACAAAAACACAAAGCACTCGTGTTGACCTCTCCATAACATGGATTCTCGGGTCAGATGTTCACTCTAAAGGCACCAGAAATAACTCCTGGTTGTTCTTTGTTTCTGCTGTTATTTTTGTTTGCCGGCAACAAAAAAACAACTGCAGCCTTTGTTGCTATTTTCATGCAAAAAATAAAAAAAGGCCTTTCATTATGCAGCCATGGGGTTTTTCCCAGAAAATGTAGAAGAACTGAAATGACAGAGTTTAACTCATGAACAATAACGTGAGAGTGTGTTGAAGAGGCAACGTGCTCCGGCTCTCACTTTAGTCATAATTGGGTTTTAGACGAGAACATCATTAGATTTAGGCTCATGGCAGCAAATGTTGTGCTAATTGTGCACCATAATCACTTCTCCTATTCAGATCCTGTTACATAATAATCTGATTTTAATTGCGCAACAGCAGTTTGATAGTTTTATCTGTTGTCTGTTAGAAGATGAGAAATGTATCCTATAAGGCAACTTTGGTTTTAGGGGTTGCAGTGGAATTAATAAATACCAATCAGATTATTTCAGTGAGTTGGAAAATGATTCATTTTTTGTAACTTGGCTTTATAAAAAAATTCTAATAAAAATTAGACTCCAATTGCTGTATTGTTTTTAAAATCAGTCATCACAGTCAAATTAATCTGTGGTATTTATTTTATCATTCTTATAATGTATGCAGAAATGTAGTAGGAGTACCTGGGATATTTGATCATTTTGATGAGTAATGCTTCATGTGACTGGAAATATTTCAGGGCCTCCTGTCAGAGTCCCTCTTTGATTTGGCTTTTCTGAATAAAAGGCAATAAAGGGCATGCACAGGCAGAGAACCTCAGTTTGTTGCAAAGCTCGGCCAAACGGAGGTCATTCAGAAGTGTTTTTATTACACATGAGAAGAAGGAAACGGCATGGTTTCTCCATCCGTGGCAGATGAACGCCCTCAAGCATCCCAGGATGCAGCATACCACAGAGGTTTGGAGGTAGAAACCATTACAAGGGGAGGATGTGGGCACCTCTGTTGTTTGGAGTGTGGTTTCCTGATCAGAGAAGGAGACGGAGAAGGGAAATGCTTATCTCTACTCTCATTTTTGCTTCCGCTTTTTCTCCAGTTTCTTGTTTCTCTCAGACTTTGGTCGCAAGATGTTTTTGTTTTTCTCCCCAGACGTCAGTCAGGAACTGAGGGACAGGAAAACTCTACATCCCCTTAAGACTCCATGCGTCTCCATTTCCTCCATTTACTGAACTGATGTCTCTCAGGGAACAGGAGCTTTAGTTCAACAGTGACTCACCTACAGCAACGTCAACATCACAGCTCTACTGATGTGGACGTCATGCTGGACCATAATTAGCATGTTCATTTCCTTTTGCATATATACCGTTGGATAATCCGTAGTCTGGTTTGAATTGTTTCTGGACAAAATTTGCAGAAAAGGTTCTTCTTTTTCTTCCTCATAAAACCAGTGCGTTGTTTTGAACACTGTGAAATCATTAGCTGGTGTTTCAGCTTCTCTTTGTGCTCGACTGTCTGTGGAGACCATTCCTAAGGATTTTGATGACGATGTTTTGTGTTGTAAAACATCATCATCACATGTTGTGTATAAATAAATGGGGCTTGATACCTGAGCACAGACCAGGTCACTCAATAACACTGAGCTACAGCAGCCAAAACAGTCTCTATCATTATAGAGGGTGAATTGTTAGAGGAAAGCGCACTCATTAAAACAAAATGTGTATCATCTTAAAACTTCAGTTTTCTAAGCACTACATAAACAAATATGTTGATATATGATGCAATAAAAACGTGCGTCAACTTAATATTTTCCATTCTTTGACCTGTAAGGGAAAATTTGCAGATTTGTCTAATTTTAATCTTTTTGTCTGATTTATTTCAGGCAAAGACTCCGACTCAGGCATGGTTGTGGTTCTTGATCATTTGGTAAAAGATGACACTTCTGGGCCCATGTTGATCCAGCCTCAGAGAGAAGCTATGACCCCAGAGTCCGACTCGTTACTGTCCGACCGGACCAGGTCCAACTCCACGGCTTCGGACCGCAGCGGGACTTCTGTGCACTCCATGTCCAATCAGGATTCTGTGGCCTCGGAGAAGAGTCTGGGCTCGAACCAGCGACCCCGGCTGGACTCTGGAGCCTCGGACAGGAGCCAGAGTTCATCGCAGCGCGGTCGCCTCGACTCCGCCGCCTCGGAGCGCAGCACCAGCTCCCTGTCGTCTGCCAGACAGAGGCTGGGATCGGATATCTCGGATTCATGCGTCAGGCCCCGTCTGGGGTCCGGGAACAAAGACGGCATGGGCGCGTTATCTAGAAAACGGATGGACGCTGTGACCTCCGACCTCAGCATGAGTTTGCCTTCTGAGGTCAAAGCTCCAACGGAGGACGTAGAGAGACCAGTGAGTGGTTCTGTTTGCAGCACCGACTCGGAATCTGAAACAAGTCCAGCCAGCATCCAGACTGAGAGCAACCAGGACCGCAGCCATGACCAGGACCAGCCGGATGGGGCCGTTTTATCTCGAAGAGATCCTGCAAACGGGCTCCTTAACGGGCACGCTCAGGGAAAGTTGAGCTTCAAGATTCAGAAGGTTAGTGTATAACCTTATTAATGTTGTCCTTAAATATCTGAAAATTATCCAGGCATATTAAAGGTAAAACATCCAACGCAGGCCCTCAGAAAACCACTAGGTGTCAGAGTACTGCAGCAAAGCAAACAAGCCGACTTAAAACTAAAGGAGAGACCAAGTTGTGGCCTAAGCAGAAGGACCGGAATCTTAAAATCCTGCACTAGAGGAGTCATTGTTCTTTATTTGCTTAATCAAATCATTAGTTGAGGGAATCCTTTGTGCAAGATGACAAAGAAATGAAATAAAATCACCCAGAACTGAAAATAAATGCATCGCTGACAGGAAGTCAGGCACTTCATGCTCTCATATGAACTTTCTCGATGCCCTAGTACATCTTCACAGATCTTGGGCATAAACATTTACTATTGCATACCATTATCTTCCTAGTAGCATGCATGCTCCACGGGTGCATCTAAAAAAAAATCACAATATCATCTAAAAGTTCATTTATTCTTGTAATAAACAAGCAATAATAAGGTAAACGACTAGCATTTATTAGAGTCGTGCAGCGGCGCTAAGCTGCACATTAACCTCCAGGATCGCTGACCTTCCAGGCTCTCCATTTAACCGTACCTGATGAACTCCACGGCCCCATTCTTCAGCGTCCTGTCGGCATCCAAAAACCCAACAAGCCGAGCCCCTGGTGGACGCTGTTTGGTTTTTGTTACTGGGTTACGCAAACAAACGGTGCACCTGACTGTCTCTGCTTCAGCTCAGCGACATGTCCGCCTCACCTGCTGTCAGGGAGGGATACTTTCCCCCCTCGTTCTTCGTCCTGGAGCTCTTGGGAAAACAAAAACACTCAGAGTTTCTGTTTCTGTGCCGACTGGTTGCTGTTGAGGAACGTTTCCCACCGTGTTGGAGGCATCGTGTCATTTCTCTAAACACGCTCACCCGAAGCCGGCCCCGGATTTCTTTTATTGTTCGCTCTAAAATGGGCCGATGTGGAGCCAGTCTCCTGAGAGCAATGTAAACACCGCAGGCTCCAGCTGTGGCTGCCGTGCCAGGAAAAGAACAGAGGCCCATATCGACACCAAGAATGAATGTTACACAATGAAAACAAAGCAGCTGGTGCTGAATTTAGCATCATCTCTGTGTGTGTGTGTCTATGCCCCAATATGCAGACTCCAGTTCCTCGCGAATCTGCGCTGCAGCTCGATGTTGGCGCTCTGTGGTTACCAGCAGAGCATGTTGACCTTTAATCTCTGGTGCTTCCTCTCTCTGATTGTCATGTATCTTTGTTTGTCTTTCTTCCTTTTTAGATAACGGCTAATGGAAATCTGACATTCGGTCATGGAAAGACCAGGGAAACTGGTAAGACTCCAGTTCAGCTCAACACTCGACGTGCAGCAGGATCACATTTTCTCTGGAAACGCATCATGTTGGGAATTTAAATCGGTTTCTTTTATGCCATCAGGTGTGGTCGTTGCTGTCAGGGTTCATAAATCTGAAAGTGAAGGGCTTTGAGATCCTCTTCAGAAATCAAAAATAAATAACTGTAATGATGGCAGAGAAATATTTCTGCTCTAAATGCTAAGAGGGATAAAGTGTAACACTCATATGTGTGCTGCAAATCTTACAAGAGAAAATTCAGTACTGTAGGTTATTGCAGTTGACTGGTTAATGCTTAAAAACTCTCGCATGGTTTCTATGTTGGTAAAGTGCCGTTTCAGTTTGTGCTGGTTTAAAATAAATATCAGCCTGAAAGCTTAAAAGGATAAAACAGATGAACTTTGCTGCCTTCCTGTTGCAGTAAAGTTTGTTCTCCCTCAGCCTCAGTGAACTGTAGACAGGTCTTGAAATTTCTTTTTAAAATATTTTTTGTTGGGACACCATGGTTCGATAGTAGAGCAGCGTTTGGTGAGGCTACGGTCCACAACGCTGCTGTCAGCTCTTCTTCTCTCTCTACCCCACTTCCTGTCCAGTTACTGACGAATAAAGGCCATTAAGGCCAAAAACCTTAAAAATATATAGTTTTATAGAAAACTCGTCCTCTCTCCATCTGAAACTCCTCATTGATCCTTAAAGTGTCCAGAATAAGGTGATCTTCACTTAGTAACAGCATCCACACTGAAAAGTGTTGTTCTCAGCACAACCTTGAGTATTGAGTGCATATATACATGTATATATAAAAATCTTACTTTTCTGACTAACTGGACCATCAGTCTTCTCCACTTCAGATGAAAATTATCTTAATCCAGAAGATTTCTTGTGGATTTTTCTGGTTTTAAAACAGTTTTCCAGTTAAGAGCCGGAGATAAAGGAAGCCTGGCATTTTCAGCCGTCAGTATTTTTATTTTGGAGTTTCTGACTCAAAGGCACATAAAAACTCGTCATGCAGCTCTGCTGGTTTCATGAGCAGTCGGACCGTAGGTGATTGGGTTTTATGTGCAGATTGTGTTCTTCCTGTTTTAAGCACAGGCATAACAAACGCAATTCAGAAAATTAAAGCAGATCACGATAAGCGTGACCTGAAAGTCTGCAGTTATTTTAGTAAATTTTACACTTGTAAAAGTCTGAACTTCACAGCGGCTGTTCCCTTTTTGCCTGCTTAAGACAATATATTTCTTTGCAGCTACGACAAAAACAAAGTAAAAGGAGTTGGAAAAAACAACCCAAAAAAGAAGCAAAGGAATGATGAGATCTGTCGGGGCTTTTAGGTTTTATGATAACGTGATCAAAATAAGTTAACTTTCCAGACTTTGAACCTGGATGTAGTGAAAGTGTCTTTGAAGATGTAGAATATGAACAATGCACATTAATTAATATTGCCTCAGAAAATGCTCCAGAAATGGCCAAAAGGCTCATTTTCATTTGTTGTCCCTGGACAACGAGTTATTTGTTTTACTAAAAACAAACAAAGAAAATAATACAAAACAAAATTAAAATGACTTAACTACATACACAAAATAAACTACAACACAGTTATTGTGAAAGAAAAAAGAAATCATTAGGACTAATTTAGTCCTTCCTTCTCTGCATTTCGTCGTTACTCTCTAAGATCCGTTTCTTTTTTTGCAGCACCTGAAAAGAAAGATGTTACATTGGAGCAGCTCAGCCGCACCAACTCTGTCCGAGACAGAATGCGCAAGTTCACAGAAGCCAGCCAAAATCCCCCCGCGCTGAAGAAGACCCCTCTGAGAAACGGGACCGTCTCTGGCCTGACGAATCTCTCCAGAGCTGCAGAGCTGTTCGCACAAGCATCGGCATCCCCCGGCACGTCTGGAGACGCGCCAGCCAGGCCACGTGTAGGCTTAGCGTCCAACACCGCTGCGTCCCGGAGCCCAGCTGCACCTCAGCCCCTCAAAGGAGTGGCCGGCAGACCTCCGTTTTCAGCCGGCCAATCGCAGGGCTCCCTGGGCGGGACGAGGCTTGAAAAAGATATGCCTACATCGGCTGAGCCAGAGGAAGAGCGGACCCCAGGGAGAGCAGCTGAGACGCAGGTCCCCGAGGGAGAGGAAGACCCCGACATGAAGACTTTCCTCACGATTGAGATCAAGGATGGCCGCACCACCACGTCCTCGTCATCATCATCGTCCTCGTCAACGCAGAGAGGCAACATGATGCCCATCACCAGCATGACGCCGCGCATCACCACTCTGGGTCAGAGGCCAGGTAACAGCTTTGTGGAAACACACTTTCAATTTCTAGTAGTTTAGATGGACTCAAAGTGGGATTTTTGTGAGACCAGACGAGCAAAACGTGCGAGGTGGTCCGGATAGATGCAAGGGCTGAACAATGAGCAGAGACTGAGGGGCATTTGTTACAGAGTGGGCACGTTTCTCAGCCCTGATGGGGGGGCGGTGAGGTCACTGGTCCAACAGCAGAGAGCAGATTTCAAACAAATGCAGAAACAACAAGCCGTCTGAGCCGAAACTCAATGCTTTTATTGTTACAGGGAGAATGAACAATCTTGTCTTCCCACACAGAGCGCTACTTTGTGTTGTTCTGTACATATTTATCTAAAACTAGACAGGCTGTCTGTAATTCATCTGGATTTGAATTTCAATGAGAAAAATGTTCCTTTTACATCTTCCTTCTTGGTGAATTTGCCTAGCAAGAGGTGAAAGTTGCACAGTATATCAAAGTTGTCATCACTCTGAGTCTGTTTTTATATTTCAATCAAAACTGCTTGGATGCTTTATTTGACTGGATAGGACATTTCACATTTCATGCATATTGCTTGCTTGTTTGGCCTCAATGCTCACGTCTAAGTAATTTTTTTTAGGGGAAGAGTCTAACGGTGTGTAACGTAATACTAAAAGGCAAAAAGTAATAGAAATTGTCATTGCAATTTTAAGCACCAATTTGTGCCTACTTTTTCTGCTCCACTTTTTCACCTAAAAACTCCTGATTTCCCAGCTGATTTATTCTAATATTTCAAATATGAAGCTTTTAAAGTCATTGTAATCAGGGACGTTTAAGAGGATGCGGGATATTTTCCCGCCTTTCATATCCTGCCAAATTAAAATGATTTTCCTTTCACTTCGCAGGGTTTACTCTATGAAAATGTGATAAAATGATTCCAATAAATCCAGCAGAGATTTGCCTAGTTAATTTTAACACACACCTGATGTTGATAGTAGTGTATATTTGACTAGTTGGACTTATGGAGACTCAGATCCATAAGCTAATAGGGTGGTGGAGATATGAGGATGACGATTAAAGAAAACTTAAGGCTGCTGCGTATCTGTCATCACAATATTCAAATATAAAATCACAAATGTGAGTTTTTGTGATTTTGTTCAGGTCTTTTAAAATTTTTTTTTTAGAAAACTGGTAACATGGCAAGAGAAGAAACACAGATACACAATTTTATAACATTAGTGCTGAAATGGAAGTGACTACGTTTAGGAATGTATCTTGAATTACAGTGTATTAAGCCCAACTTGTGTTTGTGAAATTGATCTACTTTGGTTAACAGATGTAAAAAAAAAAAAAAGACGACAAACTGATTTAGCTTTAAATATGTTTTATTAAAGCTCATCAATCTCTTACTTAAAAAAGTGACTGTTTATCTGTGAGCTCATTTAAAGCATCTGAAGTTTCTCAGTTTGTCGACAAACGTAACCCTCAACCTAAGCAGAACCTGTGCGACCTGAAAGCTCTTCGTCTCCTCGTCTCCCTCCCCTCCCAGATGATGCACTCTGGGCCCTGCGGGGGCTTCCTCATGAGCCGTTTTTCAGCCCAATTTGCTTTAATAATTTTAAAGCTCCTTTTTTGGAATCCGCCTGTCCCGGTTTGAGTGAAGGCAGTTTCCAACTGCATTTCAGGTTTCCCTCAAAGGCACTGTAAAAGCTTGTAAATGTGCCGTGCGTCATGCCGAGGTGCATCACTCCTGTGGTTTGTGATCCAGCTCTTCCGTGTGTGTGTGCATGCGTGTTTGGATGAGGGAAGCAATGAATCCCAAGGAAACTCAAACGTGTGCTCCGGGAGCCTAATGAGGAAAACTGTTCAGGCTAAAAAAATCTGTATTTTCTCCCTTTTTTTTTTTAAAATTGGATGAATGTTTACTCAGACAGCTTCAGCAGCTGACTGAGTCACACCAGCAGAGTGGAAAATCCTGCACAGATCTCCAGGCTTTAAACAACTCCAAAGTTATGTATACATTTAAGTTCCTGTTTTGTGCGTGTCTTTCAGAGCTGACCCTTGGCCTAAGAGCAGCACCATTCAAGATCTCCTCGTCTACCTTCTCCAGCGGTTCCTCCATCAAGGTAGGAGGATATTTTTAGGCAAGTGTTTCATAAAAGCTTTGCCAAAAATGCTCAGAACCAAAATTTCCCAGATGATGTTCTAAATTTGAACCCTGTGTGCGTCCTCTGGCGTTTCAGCCACAACTCGCGCTTAGAAATCACCTCTAAAGGTCCGGGGACGGTCCTCCGGCAGAGGCAGGAGAACAGAACAGAGTGAGGAGAAAGGAGGTAGAGCAGACAAGAACAGTGTTTATCAAACACAGAGAAGGGCCACCAGTCATATCTGTCCTTGTATGGTATGTGAAGAAGACGGAGGGGAGAAGGGAGGTGCTCTTGCATTTCCCTCTGCAGGGTTTTGTCTGGCAGCCATTTCCCTAAATCTCACCTGTCTGGATCCGTCCGTGGAGTTTACGCCGCCGCAGCCTTAAAGCACAAGTCGACCCGAGTTCATCACTTGCTTTGTTTCTCAGAGACGCATCTCTTGCACACGTTCCTATTAGCTGGAAGACGTCTGCTGTGAGATTTGGCAGAAAGCGCAAACAAATCCCCACCTGTCTCACTGTGACCTGGGAGGTTAAGGCCGATGCTTAACATTCCCATTTGGATCATTCTTTAAAACTTCTCGCTCCCTGAAAGGAAGCTTCTTTGTGAGTTGAGAGTGAGGGATTGAGCGGAGTTATGTCCTGTTTAAGTTTTATTTAACGACTGCATTTGGAGCGCGGCCGTAATCTGGTTATGGGATCAAAAAGCTGGTTAATTAGGGCTCCGCCCTGCAGGCCTGTGAAGGAAAGCCTCTGCATGGCTGCAGCGAGGGTCGAAGGTGTCGGGTTTTTCCTGAGTTAGGCTCTTGATGAGACGCCAACACTGGCTGGGAAACGGAGCCCAACTGTTCTTAGACATTGTAGCACAAAATGTTAAAATGTTAAATATTATATATTTGCAAAAATCTTCTCTAACACTCCTTGGTGCATTAAATCCTGCTGCTTTTTATAGGAAATTCCCACCAGACTTCTTAAACAACTCAACTTATCCACACAGAAAATCTTTGTAGATTATATTATGTAACAATAACTTTAACACATCTCCTGTAAGGAGAAATGAACCAAATGCATCCAGACACATCTTTTATTAACTCTTATCTTTAGTCCTTTTCATAAATATTTAATTGGATTCATAATTGGTATTTGACTGGGACGTTATACCACCTTTTGTTTCCTTCGATGTGGGTTTGAGATCATTATCCAGCTGAAAAATTCACCCTCATTCCATCTTAGCATTTCATCGCCCTGTCGTCTAAAATTGCTGCCGCAAACTCAGAATGAGTTTTTTATGATTTTTCTTCAGCAGTGAAGTCTTGTGCATTAAACACGCATATGGGCCAACATGATGGACTTCAGTATTTTTCTGAAACTTTCTGAGCTGCTCTTGGCCAATAATCATTAGTAGTATTTTGACCCAAGCAGAAATTTATTTCCATTTCATCAATACGTTTTCCAACAATAGTGTTATAAATGTCTGTAGAGCTCTTTGCTTTTGCCCACCGTGATGTAATTCTTGTGAAATACCTTATTGAGGAACTACACCAGCTGATATCAATTGGCTCCGACAGAAACAGGATTGCTTCCTGAATACTAATTTCAGATATAGTTGATTTTTACACATTTTCACTTATTCCACTTATTCCACTTCTACATCTAACTTAATTTAAGAATTTGTTTTGATTTCTGTGATTACCGGCGATGTTGCAGTTCTCAAATATTAGAAGAAAAAAAACTTACTGAGGAAAAAAGTAATATTTACTTTGTTTAATGTAAATACAGTTGTCCTGTGAAGGCCTGAGTGGTTTGTTGGAGAACAGTGAGCACACCTGGCAGGTCAGGAATAAACATTTGGAGAAGTTTACAGCACACTGACTTTTGATTTCTTGCTTTAAAGTGAACATCTGCAGGAAGAAAGCAATTTTGTTCTTCAGCTGGACCCACTCATCATGCAGTGGTTGCCATAAATGTGCATGTTATTTGATGCAAATGAGAAAGAGAGAGAAGCATTAAGCTGCTTCACGCAACGTCGCGCCGTCATGTAAGCAGCCTAACATGAAATCCTCCAGCGACGAGCCACCCTTAGTCTTCCTCTCCTGTCATCGGTTGGATAAGCCGACGTATCGGCTCCATGTGCCTGGATTTGCTCAAGTTTTACCAGACAAAGACTTGGGCTGACTTGGCTAATGAGATTGTAAAAACAGCAGCCAACACTGATGGTTAACATCAGCGTGGGGCGGAGCGGTGCTGGCCAGAGGTAGACTCTTTCAGAGCTCTGCTGTTCTCAGACCAAAGGTCATGTCTGATGGAAAGGTGGCGGTCCGGTGGGGAAAAATGGCCATTACGGTTAGAAAGGGGAGTGCTATGAAGACTTTAGGGTAACGTCAGTGGAGCAAGCTCTTCCTGTTTGCTGGTGTTTATTGACCATCATGGTTCCTGGTGGAAGGCCTGATCCGTTTGGGTGGTCCGGACTTCTCCTTGGTGGTCTAACCTCGCAGCTCCCCTCTCCTGTTATTTACTTGCTCCAATCATTTTAATCCCAATAAAACTTGTCGATGCTGATTGCTCTGTTTTTTTTTTTTTTTTTTTTCAGAGGAACGAAGTGTAAATCAGATTCTGATAGAGAAATGTTATAAATTCTCAGCATGGTGACGGTCCAGTCCAGCTTTGCCGAGTCCGGTTTAGACCTGCAGCACTATATGGGATGCAGACCGCCCTAACCTGCAGCCTGGTGGCTGATTGTCTCACTTTGCCACCAGAGGACAAGGACCTGATTGTTTACATGCTGGTGATCTGCGACACATGGTTATAAATTATACCGCAGACTCACATGTGTCACAGAGAAAATGTAACGTCGAGCTGCTCTTTTTGTCTACAATCGCTGCATTGTTTCACAGCACATTGAGTTCAACCAGTTTTTCTTCTTTATATTTAGACATAATGACTTTATCAAGTTACTCCCAGTTTCACGTTAATCAGAAATCCAGTCTTAATGTTTGTAAGTTCCTCTTTCTGGTTTTGATGTTTTGAGTTATCTTGTTGCAGATAAACAAGCCTCAGTACTAAATGAAATGTCCTCAGTGGGTAAAAGCTGTTTTTCATTACTGCTGCTCAGCATTTCTCTATTCATTTCCCTTGGAGCTAAATACTTCCAGTCAAGTGTTTTGCTAACGTGCAAAGGTCAGAGACAACTGCTGCCCTTTGACTTTGACTTCCCCTCTGAGTTTCAGTAATAGTTTAGTTACAGGGTTAAGAGAGAAAGCGACTTCAAGGGCCACAGAGGAGTTCAGAGATCCTCAGCTCAGATAGGAAACTTATTGTGCTCTCCAAGAATCTGGCCTGGGTGGAAGAGTAGCAGAAGAAGAAAACAAGTGTTCAAAGAAATCCAGAAGAAGTCAGGTTTGCCAGAAGACATGTAGGCGATATGCAGAACAGTTCTTGATGCTACTCGCACTGCAAAACAGGGTGTAGTTTTAATCCAAACCATACAGCCAAAATTGTTCAGAATAAAACACATTTCTGAGTTAGAAAGGCATAGTCAAAGTCCAGACTTGAATCCAGCTGAGAATCTATTGCAGGACTTTGAAAACTGAAGTTCACGGATCCTCTCCATCCAGTCTGAGTGAAAGTCAAAGAAGAGCAGAAATTTAGATGAGCAGCTGGTAGAGAAATATCCTGAAAGACCTGCAGCAAAAGGAGGATCTGCAAATGATTCTCAGGAAGTTTATACACAAAACACTATGCAGATTATTACTCATCCTAACATGAGGAAATGTAGAAAAACGGGTGTGAATACTTAGAAAAAGAATAAGTATACTTGACGAAATTATTTTTCTTTTTGTATTGATGTTTGGGAAGTTGCCTGTAATTAGGAATCGAGAGCTTCACTTTCTGCTTTCTGTGCACATTACAGATGCAGTACAAGGAGTTCAACGTGGCAGTATATCCACAGTCTACATTTAATAGGAAAGCTTGAGCATCAAACAAGATGGCGCGCGCACACACACACACACACACACACACACACACACACACACATCAAGTCTGTCAGCACTCTGAATTTAACAGCACTTAAAGTTTCCATGTGAGCAGCAGCTGGAGTCTTTCTTAATTACTAAGGGGTCTAAACCAAAACTGTGGAAGAGATCAGCCCTTCATGCTCTGGTATTAATTGTGGGGCTCTGCTTTCAGTCACTCTTGTACCAAAGAGCTGATCAGTCTGGAACTCAGTCATATTTTATTAGAAAGCAGTTTCAGGAGGAGTGAAATGGAGCCATGGCCCAGGGCAATGTCCAAACCACTGTTTGCCTTCCAGTCGAGGTGTGAAGGACGTGCCCAAAATAAAAGGAAGGTTGATGTGGGAGGGGTGAGTGTTTCAAATTGTTTTCCCATTTCTCCCCCCACCCCGCCCTCAAAGGGTGACCGGCTTAGTGGAATAACCGCAGGGCAGAAGATAAATATACTGTCCGTTGCACCTAAGAAATAAGTGGGTGGGTGCTGCATGGGAAACGAGAGTCGCTGCGCGCTCATTGGCTTTTACTTGGCTGCCTGTGAAGAGGGTCTGCTGGTTGAGGGCATAAAGAACGGGCATAGATTGAGAGGAGCGCTTCTGCCGCTCTGAGAGGTAACAACCTCTTCGTTCTCTGGTAACTCGCCAAGAAAGCTGCAGTTTTGAGGAGATTTGCGAGGGAACGCATTTTCCGTCACTATGCCTGGGGTGAACCTGGACTTCCTTCCAGCTTCGCAGCCTGCAGAGTCTTTGGGCTCTCCAGAAAGTGCTTGTGCCGAGTCTGGCCTGGAGGAGGTGATCGGTGATCTGCTTGCCCCGGAGGAAACCGAGGAGGAAGACAACAAGGAGGAGGTGGAGTTTAGCGAGAAGAAGCTGGAGTTGATGCTGCGATGTGCTGTGAAGGAGATCCACAGTGACCTGCAGGCTTTTGGGAAGAAAATGGATGTCCAGTTGGAGGAGGCAGCAGTCAAGGTGACTGGTTTACTGGAAGCCATTTCCAGACTGCAGGAGGAGAACCTGCAGCTCAGAGCTGAGCAGGAACAGATGGCGAGGCATGTGGAGGCCCTCTGTCAAGTGACAGGACTGCCTGATCGAATCCTGCAGGAACTCTGCTCTGCCCCACGTGAAACCAAAACTTCATCAGACGATGACGACGGTCCTCCATGCACACTTGACGAGAGCACGGTTGAATCTTCATGCGACGATTCGACCTGCTTGTCCAGAGATTCTCCATTGTGCGCGCTCCAGGAAGCATCCGATGTCTTGGTACTGCCGGATCAAACTGTCGCCCGGGATTTGGTTTCAAGCCCGCTGGACTCGTCGGAACCCTCATCAACTTCTGCGACCCGCCGTTCGCTCTCTGCACCATCTGTGATGGCAACGATGTCTCCTGGCAGCAACACGGTACTACTGGCTGTAAATTCTCCTGGTCATGACACCTTTTAATTTAAATAAGCCATGTGAGCGGTGGGTATGCTTTTGTTCCAGCTCATCCACAATCTAAACGTGGATCAGCTTTCCTCGACTCGTCGGCATCCGAGTGCTGCTGCCTTTTGTTCTGGCCGTGTTCTTGTTGACCTACACTCCCCCTCTGGTCACTTAATCCCTCATCATGTCCTCACTTCAACGGAAAAACGTGGATCATCTCAGCTGTCCGTCACTTTGTACAGATAGTTCCTTAGTGTGTGGGCACAGGTTTCTGTTTGCTGTTTGGTGGGAAGCAAAAATATATTTAGTTTGAGGTACACCAATCTGAAGCTGTCATTGTTTTCTGTAACACTTTAACCTGCAGATACTAATTTTAATCTATTCTGATTTCTCTTTCACTGAAACCAACACAACCTAATGGAGGTGGGATGTTAATTTTAGGGTTATTGCTGGATTTTTGTGGCCTGTTTACTATGACAGTTACATAGAAATAAATAGCGTAGTTATTGAAAGATGAGTACTTTGTGTTTTTAAGAAAACGAGATCTTAATTTGCCACAGGGTTTGGTTTTGGTCATCTCTAAGGTCATAAACAGCAGGTGAGCCTCACTATGGGCCCCTCTGCTTAAAAGGATAAAATGACAACTTTGCTGTTTTTTTTTTATTTAACCTTCCCGTTACCTGCTGGGTTTTGTGCTTTTTCTTTCTTTCTTTGCGCCTGAAAAACCCAGAACCATGTTTAACCTATCAGAACTTCCTAAATCTCAGCGTTTCCTCTCATTTGATTTTAAAAACATTACTGAAACTGAGAAAAGTTGATGAATTAATCACCCTTATTGAAGACCGTGGTTATCGGGGTGAGCTGGTTGGCAACGCTGATCAGAAAAGGATCAGATTGAGATGAAAACCGTCCAGTTCTGGTCATCAACGCTTGTCTCTAATTTCATTTGCGATGGTTGATTTATTTTTTGTTTTGATAGCTGTTGCAATGACATCATGTGCACAGAAAGGTGCAAAGAAATGACAGCAAAACCAACACCACTTGTTTATCAGTCTTTCAAAAAACTGATAAACTGGATTTATTCGTCTGTTGCTAATTAAGCCTCCGTTTGTCTGCCTCCAATAACGATTGGGCACTTAATCTCAAAGCTTCTTGCACACAGAGAGCAACACATTCTGTGTGTACATTGTTTCATTTAAAATAAAAAAGTTCTTTTTACTCTTGACATTTAACATTTGCAACATTTCTAAGATCACTCTTGACAGCTCAGTGTGCTTATCAGCTCCTGCAGTGAAAGTGACCTCACTGTTTCTCTCTGATGTGATAATGGACACTGACCTCATTATGTTTTCCAAATTCAGTAAAACTCATTTTCTTAAAATACCACCAGATTGCAACAAATGTCATCTGAATGCTCTTCACAGGACAAATGGCTTCAGTTCATATTTAGTTATATGAAATTTAATCATATCTTTTTTTTTTCTAGCATATTTTGTGCTTGTAGTGTCAGTCCAATTTAATACAAACTGTATTAAAGTACATTTAGTTCATCATAAAAGGCCATTTGGTGAAAAGACACAGTGGTTCGGTTGTTGGTAGCATGTTCTCACAAAACGTATGTCGTTTCCCTCTGTGTACTCAAACTTTGTCTTGGAGTCAAATTGTCTTGTGTGGAACTGTGATAAACCCAATCAATGGGCACCGAGTAGGAACGAATGCAAGAGGCGGCAGGGCAGCCAGACTGCAGCTCAAAGTCACACCTGATATCTTCCTACCTGGAGTGGAGAATGAATGGATGAATGGTTGAAAAGTTGGTTGATCTAAAGAACAAAGTCAATGATTAAGGGTTATCTTACTAGACGGCATTTTGTATTCTGAGCTAGTTAGTATGTGGCAACAGTGGAAGAGATTAACTCCCTTTGAGCAGGAGGAAACCTCCAGCAGAACCAGGCTCTGTACGAACCACCATCGATTGAGACCAAGTGGGGATGGAGAGGATGTAGAGCACACTAAGGAAAAAATAAAGCCCAGGAGCTCTCTGTGGGAGTTCTTTGCCTGGGAGAGAGAAGGGTCAGCAAAGGTTGCCATAGGAAAAAAAAACAAAATCTATGTATATTTTGTGCTGATTGGGGTGGAAGCTGAAGCTCGAACCTGGCTCCTTTTGGGTGGCTGTAGGCCTCAGAGCCCATGTTTGGCCGGGTCGCGTCCCAAAGCATTCTTCATCGGTCAAGAGCCTCTCAGTGCAGCCTGTCCCAGGGGTTCAAAACTCTGAGTCCAGAAAAGTCCGACAAACAAGGGGCCACCCTTGACTGCACAGCTCTGTAGCTGCGGTGGGTATTGTCCCTCTGGGACCCTGAGAGCAGCTGTGGACTGAGCTATATCTGAACCCGGACTCTGTTATTTTAAAAAGCGTTAAAGCTAGAGAACTACACTCTGCGTCAGATATTTAGTGCCATGTATAAATTCAAGATGTATTATTTAAAAAAAAATGACAGCCACTTAGAATATGACGGGCACATTGTCAGGTTTATGCAACAAATATCTGATGTTTGTTCTTATGGAGCTGTGTTTCTCCTCTCGTGTACATAACAAAGAGTTTTTTTCCATTTGCTTGGAAACAATACGTGCTGGTACACAGTCCTGTCCAACGGCGATACGGTCACAAGCTGCAGGCTGGCAGGAGCTCGGTTATTATGAAGACACTCGGTCACACGCCGATCCGAGCCAACAGTAACTTGGCAGGCTTTCCCTCCCGCTCATGTGCTTAATGTCAGTCTCTGTGGAAGGGCATGGAGATGGGGGGGAGATGGTGAAAGGCCAGTCTTTTTGTGAAACGAGTGATTCATGGAAGAGGAGCTTTATCAGTTCAGTAGTAAATGTCCAGAAATGTTCTAAAACCTATTCTAGAAGATCAGTCTGGCTTTTTAAAAGCTCCGTCCTTTATTACTTGGCGTCTTTTCAGTCGTCTCATGATGCAGTGAAATACTGTGACCATCAGTTTTTTTTGTGTTTTTTTTTTAACCAACATTTGTTTTCATCCAGATTTTGTTAATCTGTTGAGTCCTCATCTTTCCTTCATTGCCCCAGATTGGACTGATCCCCGCCCTTCAACCTGAATTGATTCTTGGATATTCATTTCTCAATATTTAACTCGTCCTCTCTCGCTCTCTCTCTCTCTCTCTTCCCCCCCCCTCCCTCCCTCCCAGATGGAGACTGAACCCGTCGTTGCCTCGGAGCCGATGTTTTCGACCGGACCGTCCATGATAGTGGCGTGTCAAGTCCCCGCCATCCCCAACGGCTCCAGCACTCAAACGAAACCTGCGGAGAGCTCCGGAAAACTGACGGCCGAAAAGCTCGCCGCCATCGAGGATGAGGAGCTCCTGGACAAGATGGTACGTCACAAGTTTGAAATAAAACTCCAGATCTTTTGGAAGTTTTTTTTCTTTTAAGTTAAGGTTGCATGTTTAAGAAATCAGTCTGCCCCATTTTTTGTTTATTTCATTTATTTCATGAACTCCTTTGTTGTTCTTGGTTTTCCGTCTCTCTCAGCTCGATGAGTCCAAAGATTTCGAGGAGAGGAAGATGATCCGTGCCGCCATGAGAGATCTTCGCAAGAGAAAGAGAGGTAGCTGCCTGTGGAGATGCCTTCAGTAGTAAAATCAACTGGTTAAATTTCTTTGTGTCTTTTCTGAACAAGCAAAATCAGGGGCTGCCTTTACTGTGATAAAATGTTCATGTTCTTTGCAGCGTTTTTCAGTTCCTAACATGTTTTTAAAAAATGACTTTTCTGCCCCCAGAGGCCATGCTGGGCTGTAGCCAGGAGGAAATGGGTATGACAGGTGGTCTGCAGTGGACATTAATAAATTATTTCTGCCTGGGTTTGCTTTTTGTTATCAGCCGCTACAGTTTTTAACTCGGATGTAGTGGTTGATATAATGCATGGGAGTGAATCTCTCCACTTGTGTTTTCAGTGAGCACTTTACTTTTTAGTTGCTTTTTTTTTGTTTTGTTTTTTTTTAAGTTGCATCAGGCTTGTGGTTTTGCTGTTGAGTTCTCTGGTCTGTGAATGACATTTTCACTCGCTGACATGGAGCTTTACAGCTTCTTTGGGATTTTATGTGTTGACCAACACAAAGGAGTGCATGATTGTGAAGTAAAAAGAAAATGATCCCTGGTGCAACGCGTGTTCTTACGTTCCACCCCTTTGACTCTGATGCACTAAAGTAAAATCCAGTTGACTCCAGAAGTCTCATGGTTACTCTCTGCAAAGGTATTTGTTGGAGAACAAACGGCATCATAACATGAAGACCACGACTCAAGACTCTACTGAGAGGCCAAATAACAATTCAATCGAGAATCTTTGTCGAGACTTAAAAATCGGTGTTCACAGACAATCTGCCAGAGGGTGAGCAGTTTTGTGAGGAAGGATTGGGCGAAAGTTTCCATTTCTAGATGTTGAAGACTAACGGGAATATATCCCAAAAGACTTGCAGCAGCGCAGCAATAACTACGCTGCTGCAAACATAAACATGCCGCACTTATTTGATTGGAATTGTGAAGAAAAGCGTCCTCCTCCTATCATTTCGGAGATGCTTTGAATTGATCAATCACGTTAAAATGCATAAGAAACCTGTTTGTAAAGTGACTAAATGTGGGGAAAAAATGGAAGAAGCATGATTGCTTATAATATTAGGGCAGATATTAAATGAAAGTTTGAAATCCGAATAACGCTCAATGGTTCGCATAGACACCAATTTAGGTAAAAGCTGACAGTCGCAGGGAAGGTATCGGTTCCTCGCTAAATTTAGAGCAGTCCTGTGCCGTGCTTTTTCTCTTTCTGTTCTGGGCTGTTTGTGCAGGACAGGTTATTTGACAGCTGCTGAACCTCCCATCTGTGGGTGTTTGTGTGTCGGAGACATTTTAAAGCGCTGTGGAAAGACTTGTGAAAAATGAAGCTCTCAGATCAGGAAGCCTTGTTTTCATCCATCTCCTCAGCGGTCAGATGAGGTGCTGTCAGCTTGTTTACGATTGCTTGTCCTCCTTTACCTACCTCTCTCTTTTTTTTTTTTTGCTTTTTTTTTTTCCACTGACATCATTTGTCCCTCACCTCCTTGTCTCTCCCTCACCAGACCAAAGAGAGAAGGAGCGCGACACTCGTCTGCAGGAGCTGCGACTGCAGAGAGAGGAGAGGGCACAGAAAGGTCGCGCCGGAGCCGGAGAGGTGGTGATGAGGAAGATGGAGAAGTCGGCCGATGGTTCAACCCTCAGCCAAGTGACTAAGACGAACCGTTTCGCTCAATCCGGTAATTTTCTCCATTTGTCTTGAAACTTCCATCAAGCCTCTTTTTGTTCCAAAGTTCTAGAGCATAAAAAGCTCAAATGTTTTGGAAAAACACACCAAGCATATAAATAATTCACTTTCTTTTAGACGACGGGAGCAAATCAACGCGCAGCACGGTTGTAGAGACCAGTTTTGTGCAGAAAACAGACAGTAAGATGCTAGTTTCACACAGTATTATGTAACTGTGTTGTTGTTGTTTTTTTTTCTCTTTTGTATTAAATTTGTTTGTGCTTTCAGGGGGAACAGTCCAGTCAAAATCATACAGCTTCACCTCGTCCTCGTCCTCCAACGCAAGCAAGAAAGTTGGCAGGTGGGTCTGGAGGCATCGGGTGCAGAAATAATTCAACCGTTCCACTTTCCAACACTTTTCCAAATCTCTGCTTCAGTGTTTTCGATCGCGAGGACGACACGTCGCCTCGAGGCGGCAGCGGCGGTTTGTCTGCCATTGATCGACGGCAGGCGGAGAGGCGCAAGGAGCTGATGAGGGCCCAGACGATGCCCAAGACGTCCGCCATGCAGGCTCGGAAAGCCATGATAGAGAAGCTGGAGAAGGAGGGCGGAGGGTGAGCAGAAACTGAGAGGGGGAATGAGAAAGATGGAGATCGGAGCGTGTGTGTTTACTAAAGCAACCGTGGCTTTTCTTTCAGCCCTGGAAACCAGGCAGTAGCCAAGGTGAACAAGGTGCAGCGCTCCACCAGCTTTGGCGTACCAAACGCAAACTCCATCAAGCAGATGCTGCTCGACTGGTGTCGTGCCAAGACGCGCTCCTATGAGGTGAGCGGGGCGAAGCCGACAGAGCAGCAGCTAAACCGGGCCTGACATGACGTTTTTCTTCTTCTTCTTCCTCATGAAAGTTGTCTTATCTCTCACTGATGGTCAGTTTGTCTTCTCCTTCAGCATGTGGACATCCAGAATTTTTCTTCCAGCTGGAGTAACGGTATGGCGTTTTGTGCCCTGGTGCACAATTTCTTCCCCGACGCCTTTGACTACGACTCGCTGAGCCCCAGCAACCGGAGGCAAAACTTCGAGGTGGCCTTCAGCGCCGCAGAGTGAGTAATCAGAACGTTGTCGTATTTCTAACCAAGAAAAAAAAAAATCCATTTAGATCTAGAGTGTTGTTATACAGCGCAGTGAAAAAATAATTTTCCTCTTTCCACTTTTTTTTTTGTCACACTTTAAATGTTTCAGATCATCAAACTAATTTCAATTCTAAACAAAGCTTCCCAAACTACCTGTCCTCCTGCGCAGCACGTTTGTGATTAAGGTCACAAATCGATGTCTGGGTTTTCTTCTTTAGGATCTTCCGACTATTGCGTAACCTCCACCAGTTCTTTCAGAAATATGTTGTTTTGTTTTTTTCTGAAATGTTTTTAACAGTAAATGTAACGAGACACGCACTCTCCACAAGCGACAGTTTTTTTTGTGCCGACGTTAGACGGATATTGGCGCTCCTTTGGTCAGCAGAGGTTTTCACCGTGGAAATCAAGAACATAGGCCTTAACTGAGGAAGATGACGCCTGACGTGTTTTTAAATGCTGTTCTGAGCTCGTTGGTGACCTCATTAATGAGTCGTTGATCCGCTTTTGGAGAAACTCCACTACTGCTCCGTGTTGTTTTTCCCCTCATTATGTGGAAACGGCTCTCTCTGTGATTTACCGGAGTCCCAAGTCTTGGAAGTGGCTTGGCAACCTTGTACAGGCCTGGCATATGTCAATAACTTTTTCTCACCTTTTCTTGAAATTTCTTTAGATTGAGTCATGAAGTGTTGCTTAATAAATAATTAATTTATAACAGCGACCCGAGAACTGATCCCTAAGGATTACCTTTTTCATAACAGCTACACATCACTAATAGAGAAACCCTTTTATGCAGCTGTTTATGCTGAATTAGTTTTTTTTTTTTTCTGATAGTGAAAGTGTAAAAATAACACAAGGAGTCAGCTGAAGGAGTTGGTGCTCAGGAACCCAGTCCAGCGTAAGCAGCAGGGCTCCCCCAGATGCATTTCCTTTCTTTTCATTGAGCAGATTCTTCCATCCCACTCTTTCTGTGAATTTATCTCTTCATGCCACACGCCAACATTTACTACAGCCTAAAGATGTTAACCATCTCTCCCAGGTATATCCCAGCATCTATCGAGGCCGAGAATAAACCTCTTGTTCTGCATTAACTCTGCCTCCAAACGTCCCTTCAAGGAAACAACGGCTCTGGTTTGAAAAAAAAGAAAAAAAATCCTCCACCTCCCATCTGAGCCTCGTCCTTCATATTTCTCTTGTCTTTTTCTCCCCTCATCTGTTTTGCATCTCATTTTGTCTTTTTTTTTTTTTGTCCCCCCCGCCTGTTTTGTGTGTGTGTGTGTGTGTGTGTGTGTGTGCTCTCACAAGTGGCAGGTAGAATAATGTCCGTACTGTTATCGGCCTCAGTGGCTCGTCTTTTACACTTTGTGTTGCATCCTCACTCGTGTCTCCAGTCACAGAAGATCCACGCAACACACTCCCCGAATGTACATCTGTGCACAAGTGTGTTTATGGTCACTTCATATAGCTGAATGTTTTTATTCTGTTCAATCATTGTTGTTTTTTCCTGTGTTTTATTGTAATATTGAAGTCTAAAGTAGGCATGGGCCTTTATGAGATTCTCACAGAGCGATGACATCGACCAAAAATCCAATGTCATGCTTTTCCACTATTTATACAACAATTAATAAACAAAATCTATAAAATGATTAACAAAACATGATTTTATTGTTCATTTACTGATAACTTATTTAAACATTTAGTAGATTCATTTGTAATTCAATTAAAGCTTTTTTTTTTTTTTTACATGGTTTGATCAGAAATACAGTATATTTTTATAATCATTTTTTGTTTATTTTTAAAGTAATTGTATGGAATTATACTTTTATTTTGGAAAAAAAAATCGGTGAGAATGATTCCTACTGCTGCCAAGGAGCAGCTGGTCACTCCAACATTAATGCCTCTGAACTGTTTAGAACGGTGCGACGAAAACGTTTTTAATCTTTGGAAAGGTAACTCCGTGTGCCTCGTTAGCCGTTCTCAGCCCATGCCTCATTACAAGTTAACCACAGAAAAAAACAACACACTCGGAGGCTGAATGGGCATCAGCTGATGCTCATTTGACACTGTGTTTTGCCCTGTGTGTGTACGCCACATGTTGGACGTTGCAAAGTTCATGAAGCATGTTGACTCATGGATGTATTTATCAACACTGAACGTAATGTTTATTTTTGTGTTTCTTTTTTTTTGTCTCCGTTCTTTCACTGAATCTTTTGGGTTTTTTTGGCTGCTCACTGCTCTGTTTGTTTTTTCCTCCCTCCCTCTGTTTTTCTTTTTCTCTGCAACTGTCCTTCATCCTTTGCATTTCCTGTCCTCTGTCCTCCGTTTCCCCTGCGTTCCTCCTCTCCCTCTGACAACCCTCACCTCCGGGCGTGGGCGCAGGAAACTAGTGGACTGCCCCCAGCTGTTGGATGTGGACGACATGGTGAAGATGCGCGAGCCGGATTGGAAGTGTGTGTACACGTACCTGCAGGAGTTCTACAGGGGCCTGGTGACGAAGGGCCTGGTTAAAACCAAAAATTCCTCCTAGAGTTGATCCTCAACTAAAACTGAAGCTATGGTGAGACGGGGGGACGAGCTTCTGAGGGGGCCTGGCTTTGGTTCTGACTTTTAGTGGTTAGCAAAGTATTCACATCCCTTGAATTTTTTTCACGCTTTGCCACATAATGACGACGACGAGCTTCAATATACGATAACCAACACAAGAGCCTATAACTGCGAGATCTTTGCAAAACTCTCTGAGGGGTGTTGTGCATTTGTTTTCAGTCCTTTTTACTCCGATACCCCTAAATGAAATCCAGCATTAACAAAATGGATTTGGTTGTCAAAGTCGGCAAGAGGCCACCTGTGACGATTTCAGCTATATCGAATTTAAATCAACACCTTATAGGAAGAACTGTTTTGATAGAAACACAGGAGACATCGTGATGTCGGCGTCATTCTGTGAGGTTAACCGTCTTCAGCAGGGACAATTATAAAGAATATAAAAAACAGAATCACAGGGATTCCTCTTTTAAAATTTATCAGTAGAAAAACAATTATTTTGCATTCAGATTTTTGTTTTGAACTTGTTCAGTCTACAGGACTGAGTAGTCTCTAACGCCATCGTACTGCCAACACCAAAAGACTTGCAGCTGTAATTTCGGTGAAATCAAATTGCATTTAATCACTTTTCCACCATTTAGCAACTTTTCTGCATCTTCTCTGTGTATACCGGTAAAACCCAACGCGGTGAATTGTAGTTTGTGGTTGTGGCATAATGTGGAAAACTTCAAGGGATGCAAAAAAATGACCAGTGTAGAGAAAAAACAATGGATAGATAAACATTAATGTCTACTTTTTCCATTTGGTCTGTCATGCTAATTTAAAGCTTCTGTGGTCTAAAGCACCAAACATGGCATATGTGAATGTGTGCATCTCTGAGCTGTGTGTCTTCGGCCCGGCAGAGAGCCAGGGCCGACTGCAGCACTTTAAAAGGAGTTGCTGTATTGCTGTCTAAGTTGAGAAACAAAGCAGAGAGAAGTGCTTTGTTGTCCCGCTCCTCATCCGATCGAGTTTAAGATTACAAGTGTTTATGCTCTTCGCTTATAAAGCCTTTTAAAGATACTTTAATTTGAAACACACAGCAATGTGTCTGTAGATCCTTAAATAGGAAAACATGCCTCATGTTGACATTTCTTCTCTCTGGAGAGAGATTTGTTGTTTATGCTTCCGATATTCTTTGATTTCTGCTGTGACATGTCCAAAGGTTTGCGGAGTCGGACGCCACCTTGTGGTCACTTTCTGCAAACACTCATCATGAAAGGCCTTACTAAATATTACTTATTGGGACCTTTTAAAGTGTTGCACATAATAATAGTTTAGGTGGTTATAAGAAATACTTAAGAATAAACAGGGTTTTCATACTTTTTTCATTTAAAAAAAAAATGTTTCTGGTGTTGAGTTTCTAGATGTTTCCAGCTGTTTTTATAACATTCTGGACATTTTAGTACGAAACGATGACCCAGTTTGGTTAGAGTATCTCAGCCCCTGGACTTTGCTTTACACAGTAACATCTGTATCAACTTATATCAGTTTTTTTTTTAGAATATATCACCTACGACATATTAAATCTGTACTAGATTTTCCTACACCATGTATAGATTCTTTAGCCATTTTTCCCCTTTATATTCGTTGCAAACTGGAGGCGGTATGAGAATAATGATTGAAATAAAAAGTAAATGCTTAATATACATGTGTTTCCCTGATTAAGTCAGTAAGATTCTGTAGATCAGTTTCACTTTTTGAACTGAGAATGACTGAAATGCATTACATTTTAATTTACCTAGATGTACCTGTTCATATCCAGACTTGGAAAAATAATAAAATCCCAAACTTTTCAGGATTTCCTTCAAGCCTTTGTATGAACCGTTATGCAGTAACCATGACGAAACGTGTAGTTGAGGAAACGGGTTGCCCGTCCTCTTGAGTTCAGGCGCGCGTCCAGCCTTGTCCTGACCCGTCTGTCTCTTTCAGGACCTACGCCAACTGCATGCCTTTGCTGGAAGTGGAGGACATGATGATCATGGGTAACAAACCGGACTCCAAATGCGTCTTCACCTACGTGCAGTCTCTGGTGAACCACCTCCGCAGATACGAGATGTCCATGGGCCGCCCCTGCGACCTCTGACCTGTGGCCAGCGATCCTTCACATCCCTGGTGAACACGTCGGGGATTTTCTGTGTGTTTGCGTCGTTTTACTTCTAACATGTGTTGGCAATGCTTCGCTGTTCCTTCTTAAAACAATCTTTGCTGACACAAAGTCTACCTCTTTAGCAGAGAGGACGCCTACATGTTAAAAATCTTCCAAGGTTTTTAATTTTATTATTTTCTGTGTTTAAACTGAGCTCATTGCAGATTTCAGCTGTCTTTTCGCTGGCATCAACACTCTCACACCCCCACAAAAAAATAATTGTTTATATGATATCTCCTCTTTTAATATAACTATACCCATATTTTTTTCTGCTGTAATTTTTCTGCTGATGAATCCACTGAAACGGCAATATTATTTTTCTTTCCATCCTGGTACTTCTTTTTTTTTTCCTTCCCATTTCTAACCAAACTCTGGTTGCTTTAATTATTTTAAATTATTTTTTAGCTGATAAGCATAACGAGTTTTAATTAACAAGTACAGAAGTGTTCATTTTTGTTTATTTAAATGAATTCATCATTGTCAGAGGAATCTTGTGCTTAAAAAAAAAAAAAAAAACCTTCCTGCACAGAGCTGCTGATAAAGTTGTCGTTCTGAAAATATTAAAACGGGGAAGTTGGAGCCTGATTGAAATCATTTCTGATGGCTTATTTAAAGAAAAACGACCACACTGTCGACGACGACGTCCTGCTCAAGTCTGTCGATTTAGTTTATTTATGCTCAAACTGGTTTTAATGCCGGTGTTTTAGTTTGTGCTTGAAGCCATTAGGCAGTTATCTTAAGTATTTTAATAAGCTGAAGTTCTTCTTTTTTTTTTTTTTTTTCTGTAATAACCTGGACTTGCTTCTCTGCCCAGTGTGGGCACTAATGCTGAAAACTTTACATAAGAGAAGATTTGCAATGTGGATTTTTATTTTAAGGTTCTTTCAAGAGAAAATTATGAAAACTTGTTTTCAAGCTTGTTTTTTGGTGAAGAAAAAAAAATCCACGAAGCAGTGAGCATTGAGTGTGTTTGTGTATATAAGAGCTTGAACACATGGTATGATTTCATGTTTTCTGTGCACTGCAGTAAAATGTAAATTACCAATTAAACCAATTTGAGAAATGAAGTTTGTATGAAGGTGATTGCTTTATCTTTTTCACTGATATCTCAGCTCTATCTTTACCTGGAGAAATGTGGGAAAATATTTGTATTTTTAGTCCTAATTCTTTGTCTTATAGTCCCAAACTACCATCATCAGTTATTTTGCATAGATTTTTTCCACCCCAGATTCCATATTAAAAGTAGTTTAACCCATTTCAGGTATGTACTATTTTTTGACAGTCTACTAAATAAAATCCCAACAAAATGCATCCAAGCTTGTGATATGAAGTTCCTAAGGTACCACCAAGCCTGTCGTAAATGTGGGCCGAACTGAAACCGAGACGGACTGAAGTTTGACCTGAAAAATGTGTGGAAACTTTTACACAAATGATAAGACCATTTTTATTTATTTTTATTTCATTCACAACTTTTCCACTCGAGTCTTTACGTGCGTCCACCAAGCCCACCAAGAACAAGCAGCATCAGCCTCAGGCCGGTCGGTCGGACGACTTTTCACCTGAGGCTTCATTCGGTTTCACAGCAGGTGGGAGGAAGCACGAAATGACTCAAATGAGATGGAGATGAAGGGGATAGCGAAGAGATGATTGAACATGAAACGCTTCCAGTACAAAACTACATTTATAGTTATGTTCTAAAACGAAAAAAAAAGGAAACAAGGGGTAGAAAAAAAAAATGTCTCGACTAGAAAGAGCCTGTGTGGTTATTTCCCTTGTTCTTTCCCCATGAGCGAACTACGACAATCTGCTGGTTGTGGAGCGGCCCAGAGGGACCGTTTCTATTTTTGCCAGTTCTTGGCGGTTATAGGTCGGTGTGCTTGACCTCTGGATTAGACTCTGAGGAGGCGTTCTCTGTGTCTACAGTGGACATGGATGATTTGAACGGGCGCTCGTCTTTGAACGGGCTGTCTTTGGCGGGAGCGAAGCGGAACTCCTCCGGCACCTCGTCTTCTGGTTGAGCTTTCTTGTAGAAACCCAGCTTCTCCAGCAGCTCGTTAATCTCAGAGCGGGTCATGTCAGTCAGAGCTATCCGCTGTGACGAGAACACATTGGTTCAATGATTAGTGGACATCCAGACGTAATGCTCTGTCGAGCACCAACATGTCGTCTTATGAAGAAAAAAAATTAGGACACCGAATGACAGCCAGTGTGGTGTTCTGACGCATTTAGATGCAATGATATTTAATAGAAATTTTTACCAGTACTGGAAAAAATTCAAGTGATATAAATACACAAAAACTGAAGAAAAGAGCACCACTACTCAGCATTTTAGTAGAGGTTTGCCCTGTTTCCTGACCGTTGATGTGAGGGAAGATCAAAACATCTTCTGTTTTTTTTTCTTCTTTTTTTTTCAGCTTGTGAGTCTAATTAGTAAACTGCCAAAATGCAAATGTGGCCGGCCAAACAAGTTCATCCTGAAAAGAAAACGGACCACAAGATGCAAATCCTCCACAAATCACAGGACCTACAGCGCGCAGCTGGTACGGCTCATATGAGGGGACATTTTTGTGCAATCAAAAAGATGCTGCGCAAGTTTAACCTTCGTGGGATGTGCTCGAAAAGTAAATTGTTTTCTCTCTAAGAAACGCATGTAGGCCCGGATTATATATTCTCAAAAAAAAAAAACAGGAATTCTCATTTATCTGAATTATCTGGACACAAGAAAAAGAAGGACATGTTTGGCGATAACTCATTTAGATGCTGTCAGGCGACTTAAAACTGGCTGCTTGTCCAAGAAACACACTAACATCCATCCAGACCAGCATCAGGGATTGGTGGATTACTACCAGAACACTGAAGTTATTTCAGCCAAGCAGCAGGAGAAGGGAGGAGTGTGTCCTAACTTTTGCCCTCAGCTAGAAAATACATGTCTTTTTAAGTAAAACAAAGTTAGTCTTTGTTTTCTGTGCAAATAATTGACTTTTCCAGTACGAAAACAGATGAACACTTATTGATTAAAAAACTGAATATCTAAGTGTCCTATTTTATTTTTTTCAACAACTGTATATTATGGCAGTACGTTTGATATTTTATTAAATATTGTATTATTCAGCCTCAATGGGGGCAGTCTCTTCCTCCTAACACACTAACACATTTTTCATCTTGTTGTCTAATCTCTTCAAATCTGCAGCCGGCATTTGAACCATTCGGTTCAGTTTTAACCAAATGTGACGCAGTGAGGAAGCTCCTGTAAACATCCTGAGGAAGTGTTTAACAAGCAAATGGGAACTGTAGCTCGATCTGAAGAGCCACGTTTCACCCGGAGGAGCTGGTTCAGACCAAAATAGGACTATTATCCTGACTCCAAATTAATGCTTCATCTGCTCCAATTTCTGCGTCATGAGAATATTGGCTGCAGCATTCAGCTGAGGCTGAGCGCGTCTTAAAACCTCATTCAGACCTTAAGCTTTCACTAATGTGAGGAAGAGAGTAAATAGATTTCAATAAGGTTACTTCCTTTTCCAACGTATCAAACTCACATCTGAGATGCACAGGTGCATCACAAAAAAAGAGAACAGAAAAAAAAAAAACATTGATGTTTCTTTTTTTTTTTGTTATAATGATGATTTATAGCTGATGCTAAGCAAAAATTCAATTTATCACAAAACTGCACACAAAAAACTATTCTAAGCCAAATACTGTAATGAAAAGACCTTTAAAAATCTAATTTTGTCACATTTCAGATCTTCAGAATGTGAATGATCACGGAAAATAAGATGTTTTGCTACACTCTGTGTAATCAGTAGAGTCCAGAATATTTCAACGCAATCTTTACAGATAAGACTGTTTGTTTTTGGTTTCATCCAGATCTCTGTCCTTGCCCGGTGACTTTATTGCGACTATGCCTGATAATCCCTGTGGTAATATTTTCTCTGGTTTAACTGCTCTCATAGATAAATGGCACCCTCCATGATAATGCATGATAAATAATGACATGAAGTTTCCATTCTCTTTGCTGCTTTCCTCCAAAACATCTGCCTCTCTGGGGACTTTCTTGCAATGTGAGGGTTTTATTTGAGTGCAATATTTTGAACACTAACAGCTGCAGGAGCTGCTTGTAGACACATTTATTTCTAGGCTCTCTTTGGAGTGGCTGGTTAGTTTGTTTGTCTAAGCCCTGTGGTTTGGTCGGCTCCTGGGAAATTAGCAGCTGGATCTGTTCACATCCATTATGGATCAACAGACACAACAAAGACAATAATGACAACGCTAAGATAGTGACAACATTTTAGACACTAAGATGAAGAAGAGTTTAGAAAATCTGATATGATTGAGATTTACAGGGCCTATAAAAATGTGTCCAGCCCCTTTAATGTCTTACCCTTTTACAAATTGATTATGATCAACAAAATATGGCTTTGACAAAAAAAAAAAATACAAAAAAGATTTTTTTTAATTCAAAGTGAAAACTGGTTTCCACAAAGTAATAGTTAAAAAAATGCAACATAAAATAAAAGATTGCATAGCTGTTCACCTCCTTCAAGTCAGTATTTAGTAGATGCGCCTTTGGCTGAAATCAAAGCACAGATTCTGGGTGGATAGATGCCAGGCTGCACATCTGGGCACTATATTTCTAGTCCTTTCTTACTTATAAAACTGCTCCAGCTCTGACAGATGGCTGAGGATCAGCTCTGAACAATCACAAATTATATGAGATTAAGATCTGGTCTTTGACTAGGCCAACCCAGAACATCCACCTTCTTGTCTTCAAACCATTTCTGCGTTGATTCACCTGGATGCTTGGAGTCGCCACCTTTCTGGAAACAAATGTTCTCTAAAGCCATAGTTCTCTTGCAGATGGAAACAAATTGTCCTCTGGGATTTCCCTTTAATTCATTTTACCTCCTGCCTTTACAAGCCTTCCCTGACCTGCTGCAGATTAGCATCCTCACAGAATAATGCTGCCACCACGGTGCTTCACGGTGGGGATGGTGTGATTGTGGTGATGTTCAGTTTTTGGTGTCTTGTCTGATGTAAAAGACTCCATTTCAGTCTCATCAGAACAAAGAACTTTCTTCCACTTCACCTTTTGGCAAACTCTTATTGAACCTTGATATGGGTTTTCTTCTCCACTGGCTTTCTCATTGCCACTCTCACATAAAGCTTAGACTGGGCTACAGTTGTTTTCTGCAGAATCTCTCAACATTTTCTCTGATTTGCTTCAAGTGTTATTTGGTCTGCATGCTGTGATTGTAGCCAGGAATAGTAATTAACCACCACACAGGTGTGTATTTATACTACAATCACTTGAGACACAGTCACTATCCTCAAGTGTTCTCCAGTCCACTCTTTGTGGCACCAATTGACTGGACTTCTATCGAGTTAGGTCAGCCACTTTAAAAGTGAATAGTTATGCAATCAGTTACTTTATGCTGTATAATTTGATGATTTGTGTCAAATATTTTTCACTGGTCTATAACAGCCTTATTCTGACTTCAAACCCTAAAAACAATCATATGGTTTCTCTCTTTTACATTCCAAAACCCTGCCATTTTAGCAGGAGTGTGTGGACGTTTAGAACCACTGTAACTGCTTGAATACACAATTTCCAATCATTAACAGTTATTAAAAATGTATGACACTTACATCTAGTTCTTCATAGTAGTGATTCAGGAGGACAAGCTCAGGATCAGCCCCAGGAATGTGCTTCATCACCAGGTTATGGCTGTGGTGGGGTCAGTCAAGGCCTTTTAGACTTAAAACAATGAGCATGCTTTCAGTGCTCAAGTCAAGTGAAAGGATACTAAAGAGGAATATCCTGCATCACAAAGGCTTTGACCTGCAGACAGAGGTGAGAATTAATGTGTGTGTGTGTGTGTGTGTGTTATTCTAAAACAGATGTGTTGGGATTATCTGAAACCCAGGTTGTAAAATGTGAAGTGAACCATTTCTCTAAGAAGATTTTTAAGTAGGGATCTACTTTCTGCTGCCTCTAGCTATGTAGTATTTTAACAACACAACTTACCTCTCTGAGTCTATTCAGTTGTCATCCACCACATGTCTGCAAAGAGACAAAATTAGATTGGAGGAACAACTCACAAACAGCACTTGTGTTTAGCAAGTGAGACATGTTGTTTCTTAACAATGGAAACTGGTAGCTTCAATATGTGTCACTGCACCCCCCCTACCACCTCCCAAAAAAAATCTGGAAGGAGAAAAAACACCTTGATAGACCTTCTCTGCCAACAGGGTTTGGAATCAGTGCAGCTTTACCTTTTGTTCAGCACTCAGGTTCAGTGAGGCCCTGGGGAGGCTGTCTGGCCTAATTTTGTTGGATATCTGAGCCAAAGGTATGAGGTAAAATGTGACCAAGACAAGAGTAGCATCAGATCATGTCTTTTGTCTCTGAAGCTGGCAGGTTGGTGATAATGTGACATCCTCTGGGTGAAAATACTTTACTTTCATAAGCTTTTGTTCATCAGATGCCATTATGTAGCCTGAGAACCCTCTCACACTCCACGCAACAACTGGGAAGTCAAACTATTTCACATTTTACAGTCATTTGCAGCGACTAAATGAGACACTGCTTTTGTTCCTAACTTTACCACAACATACATAGTTATCCGATTTCCTGAAAGCACTCGTCTAAACGACATTCTGACGCATGCGCTTTGAAAAAAAAAAAAACAAAGAAGAGAGCATCCATCCCCACTTAACAAAACCGATTCATGACACCCGCTCTGTGTTTTCAGTCTCTATTAAACAACTGCTTTATGCTGCTTCCTCCCTCTGTGCAGAAGGCTTGCTGTACCTCCACCCTGGCTTTGGCCAGCCCGTCCAGCTTCTGCAGATCCACATCATAGGCCGAGGCGCAGTGAAGGAAGGAAGCCAGCACGATCAGCCACATTCTTCTTCTCCCGGGACAGGTCGCCGTGAGCAGCAGCGGGTTCCTCTGTCTGACCGGTGGTTACCTGCGGAGGTTTGAATACCACCGAGGCGAAGAGGAGGACAGGCGATGACGAGCAGCTGTGTCACTACCGGACTTCTTGCCACGTCAAATATTTCTCCCAGAACAGAGAGGGAGGCGTGGAGAGGACTCTCATTGGCTACACGAGGCTCCTAAACCAGAATGTATCAATGCGATTCTTTACTAATGCAGGATATCATTGATATGAAAAAGGTGAAGATTAAATATTGCAGAATATGCAATGAAATATTATATTATTACAAATCTTTAAGTTTTTATAGTATGGTGATTACGCGTTAATATACACAAGCAAATATATTGTAACAAACAAGCAAAAAAAAAAAAAATCTGTTATTTTTTTACATTTATTGTTATACATTGTTCTTTTCATAACATGCGTTGACTCTTGATTTATCTAAGACGTTATAATAGAAAATATGCAGGCCACATTGCGAATTGATTACGTTTCACTTTAACTAATCAATAACTTAATCAACAATTGTTGATCAATAACTTAAAGAATAAACTAATGGGTAATAAAAGAGTAAACTAATGGGTTCATTCAATTGTTGTGAATGAACCCATTAAAATTACAAAGTCATTTAATCGTCATCTGAACTTTCTGAAAACGCTTAAAGCCATTGTAGTGTTATTGTATAAAAACTTCTAAATCTGAGGAAAGTAAAAAAAAAATGTTGCTCGTTTATTTATGTTATTCATTTATTTCAAACTTTTTTTAATGAAAAACAACAACAAAAACAACAAGTAATCAGTGGGACAATAGGAAACGTGCACAAGCAAGAATAACCCTAAGCCCAAGTGGGGGCTTGGGTTTGTTTGGCTTTATTTATTTGGTTTGGACCTAGTGTAATAAAAGAATAAACAAAGTTATACAAACAAAATAAATTTAAAACAAAACCTAATAAAACAAAAGAAAAAAAACAGTAGCATAGTATATTTACAGGTTCAAAGGAGTGGGTAGACGAATAAACTTATTTTCATACTCATTCTTACATTTGTAACATCATCCAGTAATTGCTATTTATGTAAAATAATTAGCTTGCCACTACTTTCCTGTTTGAAAAGGAGTAGGAAGAAGTGAATGCTTGTTTAATCCTATCCCTTTCTGGTATTTAGTTAAAAGATGTAATTTCGGTAATATTTATACGGCTTAGTCTAATTTAATGTCAGACCGTGAGAAAAATCGTTGACTGTGACTCAGATGAGACAGAAAACAGATGTTCTGCGCATGGTAAATTAATTGTGCCTTATGTTGTTCGCCATAAACACATTATGAACAATGCAAAAATATCTAAACATGGATGACATGAAGGACATCTATATTAGTTGACCTAATATAGATGTCCAGGTGGGGCTGGAACTCACCAAATCCTCACTTTTTTTTATCTACAGCTGTAGTCCACATAAAACACATATTTTTATTTGTTTGTAAATTATAACAGATTTGGAACATTATAGAACAATATCCCTTTTTAGATTAAAGAACATTATCTTGTGTCTTTCTAACCTGGACTTCAGAATACAAACCACTAGGTGGCACTCTGGTGCCAATATAGAGTTTGTTACGTAGAACAGCGCCTACCGTTGGAATCGACGCAGGTTGCGGTTTAAACCGATAACATTTCGTTTATCTCCATAGAAACCAGAGGGGGAATCGGCGAACGAATGCGTTGCTGGGTGCCAACCGGGCCCTCTCGTTGAGGCGACACTTTGCTCCTACAAGTCTGTTCTAGGTGCGGTAGCTCTGTGTGCGCCTTCCCATCGGGTGCACTGTGTAATTATCAACCCCACGCAGCTCCTTCACTCAGAGGCTGCTCGTTCACGGAAACTGCAGGCGTACGTCGTCCGGGGCGTCTTTCTGTAGTTTGAAGGGCATGTTAGCAGGCTGCAGTTGTAACCTATGCATGTCCTCGGTTAGACACACGGCTTTGGGAGATGTAGCCTGCCTGGTGATAAACCTGTGGTCAGCATCGCTTTAAGCCCACCTACCTACCTGCGCCTCCTCCCCACCAATCCACCGACTGAGGAAGGAAAGAAGGAAGGAAAGGGCGAGAGTGAAGAGATGCCGATGGTGACTCGGAGGTGGCAGCACAGGAAAGTTCACTGTGTTTCTCTGTAACAGGGAGTGAGTCTTATAAATTTTCCACCCAGACCTCGGACTGAACGACCCGTACCTGCACACAGGGTGTACCCAGCAGAACTGCCGCGGACCTTCGCACAGAAGAACCCGAACAGGTAAAGGTGTTCAGCGATTGAGCTTAAACATATTTCTGTTTAGAGACAGTCTTGGTGTTTCCAGCAGCCATTGCTTCGTTCTGTGTATTGTGTTTTGGCTGCTTGTGTCAGAATGTTTCTTGTTTATAAGTCACGTGTAAGAAGAGAAAGGCTGCTCACCTTTCTCCCACCTGCTGATGAATCACTCTTATATTTTCATCCCTTATCTTAAATGCATGCGCGCACAGTTGCAAATTCTGACACCCACATACATGTCTGAGACCATGTTTTAATGCAAAACACTGTCACAGTTAAAATGACCTTCATGCTCTTTTCTGGTTGTAAAAGCTGTCCTTGATGTCTGAGTGTTTATTGGGCCAAATTACCTCATGCTCCATTCCAGATAAGGCAGCGCTCCTTTCTGTCACAGTATCTGAACACTGTTTCTGAGCATAAAATGTACTGCATACATTATTATTGTATTTGTTTTCCATGTACTGCTGCATGCTGTATTGTCACAATTGCATGTAGTTTAATATTCAGTGAGAGGCTGAGACAGATACAAGCATGAAGCCATGCATGTAGTTTGTAGATTAAATGGAAATTGTAGTTGCAAACAGAATCACCTGTGGCAATGCTAGAGTTTAAATCAGTGCATGCAATTCTAATGCAGCCATCATTGCTCAAGTTTTGGTATTTGCTGGAAGAGCAGTCAGTGAGCCATGAAGCTGCTGTTCCAGGAAGGGTTTGTGTGGCCAGTGAACCGACCTCTCAGTAAGAGAGCTAGACGTTTGCATGCAGGGGATTGTGTTTAATTAGTTTGTCTTTGAATTTTCTTTTTGAGAACAAGATTAATTGACAGTGCAAAAATGATTTTGCATCATACATGTATGATATTTTTAATTAGAGAAAACTCAAGCATAAAGTTTCCACTGGGTGGCTTTACACCGTTTGTAATTGATGGATCGTAGTTTGAATTTCAATTCAAATAGCAAAAACAATCCCAACCATGCTATCAGACTCAAATTCACAGTACGACAGTTTTGGGGGCTTTCAGACATCATCAGTTAGAGTTGACAATAACTTGGGCTTCCTGCCTTGGATGCCTACAGCTGATTGAAAAAAAAAGAGAAGAAAAGAATAGGGGGAATGTCAGTATAACTGGTATTGTCGTTGCAATATGTTTATGTAGTATTTTAAGCCCTTGGTGTAAAGCATAAATTTAATGTTAATATCCTTGTTGCACTTTAGCATATTAGCCTTCCGTTTCAGTGGTGCTGTAAGGCAAAGAATCATTAGAAATGCTCCTTAATGCTACATCATAAACAATCTGATCACCTTCTGTAGATTTGTTGGGCATGTCAGAAAATTGTGTGAGCCGCCGCTCTCATGTACCATATGTTTACACCAGTTCCACACAGTTGTTGTAACTGCAACTTGGACCAGTGACCCTGTCATAGCATTAAGTAGTTCTGTGTGCAGTGATTTAAGATGAACTCACAAAATAAATTAAATTTAATTTCAATGATGTCAGTTGATCCTTAAATATCAAGAAGAACTTGAGAATGTGATATTTGTGTAATAGTAACACATCATTTCTGACTACGATGTCAGAAATGATGAGCAAACACATTATTCAGTACGGGTATGCATCAGTGGTGTAACAGGACTCCATGTTCCACAATGTTCTCCTTCGGTCCCTCATATTTAGACCCACATGACCCATGGTTTTCATGGCTGTGACAGCAGCTATAGGTTTTAACTAGAGATTCGTCTAGTCATGAATCCCTTACTGCAACAAACGCCATGCTGTTGGTTGATGCAGTTATAGGCCAAACATATAGGAGCTCCAAGTTTTGATGCATTTGTGTAACAGAGGGAAAAAGTCTGATCTTTCGGTGTTTGACCTGAACATCACTGATCAGGGTCGATCAAGGGAAAACCGTCAGATTCCAATCGATGGCTGAATGATTGCTGTACCTCTCTTATTAAAAACTGAAAGCAGAATAATTTTTGACTTGATCAGAGAAACGGCGCCACCTAGAAAGATGGGGGTGTAACGCGCATTGGCGTTAGGACCTGGAAGGAGCCATTTACAACTGTGGCAGCAGCTGCTGGTTTCATCTCCGTCTGGGTCATCATTAGTATCCTTGTCACAGGGGTGTACGACTCTGGAGGCATTCATCACCAGCACGCTGCATGGCTTTAATTTCAACACTAAAACACCAAAGAGATCAGAATCTGTCGGGAATAAACACGATGCAGCCATGCAAAGCCAGCAATTTTAGATAAGCGTAATCAGCGCAAGCACACAGCTGATTTGTTTTTTACCCTTAGTATCTAAAGCAAATTGGCTTCTCGCTATTTGTCTGACTCATCCATCTAAAGCTATCTTTGTTGTCAATTAATCCTGCCAGAGGAGCCAAGAAGGCCGGCTGGGGGCTGCTGTTTGGGTTGCACTGACTGCATGCTTCCTGGCTCTCAGCTCTCGAGCCTGAAGGAAGGAGCATGTAAACACTGTGACAGGATTGTTATTATCCAATCATTTCACTCCTGCCTCGGTGAACGTGAGTGGGGATGGAAGTGGTAATCGTTCCCAGAAAAGCTAATGTTTGGCTCCTTCTCTTTTATTATTTAATGACGTTTGTTGTGACAGTGGCTGTTTGGATTGTGGCTGGTTGACGTCACTGATGGTGGGGCGGCTGGCTGAGGGAAAACAATGCAGTGCATGTCACAGAACATGGATGTTCGTCCGGAGGGGATAAGTAAGGGAGGGAACGGGAGTCATTGTGATCAGCCTTTTAGGTTCTCATCTCCTGAAAAATTACAGGATGGTGATGATGAAGGTGGGTAAGATGGAACAATGGGCCCGTGCGAAGAAGTGGGGACAGAAAGGATTGGAAAAATGGGGCGATAAGAGAGCCAGAGAAGAAGGATTAGAGGCTGGATAAACAGTCAGCGCCAAAGGGAAGTGTGAGGGGATCAGTTGAGAGACATTCTACAGAAAGACAGTGTTGCCACTGAAGGGGGCTGTCTTGGTTTGCTCTCTCCTGTCCCCTTACCTCGTTTTGCACCCACCCACATCCACGTGTGCCCACTTACCCTGCTCGCTCAAACGCACCCCCTCCACCCAACCCCTCACTCAGTGCAGTGCATAGACCTCAGGAGTACACCATGTCCAGTCAGTTTCCAGGTTATCAACGACTGGACATGCAGCGTGTTTCTGAGTACATGTGAAATACTGAGGTGGTTCTCATCACAGCATGACAGTCGGGGGGCCTCTGTCTGCTCAAGGTCGTGTGAATAATCAGACGAGAGCGCCATTGTTTCTGTGTCCCTGAGCAGGAAGCTCTCTCTCTCTTTCTCTCTCTCTCTCTCTCTCTCTCTCTCTCGCTCTCTCTCTCTCTCTCTCTCTCTCTGTCTCTTTCCCTACTGACCCAAACTGTGCACACAATGCACAATATGCAATTCCAGCCATGTGGGGAATGGGATGTGGTAGCCATTAACATCACTTTGCCGCTGAAAGGTTCTCAGTCTCAAGAAAAATCTGACTCTGGCATTTTTGTTCCTGTCTTTATGATGAATATCTCAGCCATCACTAACTGAAGGATTGGGGTCATCAGCTTTTTTATCCTCACATGTATGGGGGAATGTTCCCGACTGCATGATATTTTGGTTGTTGAAAGTATTTAACATCCTGTTCTTATGTTTGATACTTAGATTGGAGAGGTACCGATTGCTACAGGCAACTCTTTGATGTCAAAATAGTTACTGTGGGTGGAGGATTCAAGGATGGAGTTGCTTTAAATTGAAGTATGGAGTGCACATTTAACTTCTCTCACACTAAATAATTAATGTCTGACCACAGAAATTATTCTTAATGAATGAAAGAGTGCATTTTGTTGTTGTTTCATAGCTGTTGATGATAAATCTGAATGAGTATTGGGGGATAACGGCTTTACAAAATCCTTCAATATTTCATTTACAAGAATAACGGGGAAAAAAAACAATTTTATTATTTTTTTATTTTTATACATTTTTATTATTTGTGAAAATATTGGTTAAGTGCGCCTTGTCAATACTTCAATATATTACCCACTAGGTTGCAAATTGTACAAGTACTTCTTATTCAGTACCCTTGCTTGGCATGTGAGGAAGCCGAGAAAAGCAAACAAGGGATTTATTTAGTCATTAACGACTGAATGGATTGTTACCCAAATCGTTTGGCCTAAATTCCTCCTTTATTTCTGCCTCTTTGTCTTCTGTCTCATTCTATCTGTCTATGCAGCTTCCTCTCTCTTTTTTTCATTGTAATCCACGCTGCTGATTTGCAAGGTTTTGGACCATGCTGTTTTTTTTTCGCTGCTAGTTTTAAGCAAATTTCCACCAGCTCTGTTGCTTGAAAACCATTGGCCTGCTGCTGCAGACGATAGTGAATTACGTTCAGGTTAGGACGATGAGACGTCTCTTCTCATGTCTTCCTTCTCTCTTGTTAGTTCTCACATTTATTCTTTCATTTGTTTGAAATCAATACACTCAGCAGTTTTGTTCATACCTTGAGGAGGCAGGTAATTGAACAGCGACAATAATTTGACACAGGAATGACTCTGTTGTAATTCTGGGTCAATCGGACATCAGGGCAGTCTTACAGTCATCAACTGAATTGACTTGTTTAGGGAACAAGGTTTACTTTATTTCCTTTACCCTTTAAAAATATGATCTATAAACTGAACTGTAAGATTGACAGACATTTTTACATTGCCTTGAAAACTGTATTTTATTTAACATAACATCAAAATGTAATATTTGTTCAGTTGTTGACTGTATTGTGTTTTCTTTATGACGTTGTAGTTTTCTGTTTTTATTATATAAAGCACCTTGAACCGCCTTGCTGCTGAAATGTGCTATGCAAATAAACTTGATTTTAATTGTGAAGAGGAGAAGGGATCAGTGGTTTTCAATATATTTTTAGATACAATTTAATGTTAAATACCCTTAATTCAGTCATCTCACAGTCAGTCTTCATCAGGAACTAAGAATAATTACGACATCAGGTCTTATCAGGTATGTCTCTTAAACCTTTGCAAATCTAGAGAACGACATTTCTATTAATTTATCTTTTTGTTTCCCAGAAATGGACCAACATAACTTGAGGCAAAGCAAGAGACAAAAAGAGGGCCCAAGAAGCAGAGCAGAGGCTTCAGCCCCAGCTTCAGCTCCAGCTCAAGCTGCAGCCTCAGATGGAGCCAACGATCCCACCACCAGTCAGTCTCCGGTTCCCTCCAGGCCTCCGCGGCCCCAGAGAAGTCCCAGGATTGAGGGATCTGTAGATATTTCAGAACCCACAGTGGAAAACAAAACTGAGCCCAAAACCGAACCCAGAGTTGAGCCCAAAGCCAAACCCAGAGCTGAACCCAAAACCAAACCGAAAACCGAACCAAGAGTTGAACCCAAAACCGAACCCAAAACCGAACCCAGAGTTGAGCCCAAAACCGAACCCAGAGTTGAGCCCAAAACCGAACCCAGAGTTGAACCCAAAGCCGAACCCAAAGCCGAACCCAAAGCCGAACCCAAAGCCGAACCCAAAACCGAACCCAAAACCGAACCCAAAACCGAACCCGCTCCACAAACTAACCAGAACGAGACCACTCCTGACGACAGTGTGGTGAGCCAGCCTGAAACCTCTACCCAGACCGAAGAGCACACCGGGCCGAGTGTCAGGGCGGGTCCTAAAGGTCCGGTCAGAGCTGCATCCGTGCCCCAACCACCTCCCAGCAGACCTGTGTCCTCTCATCTGAACCCGCATGCGCAGAGAGCCCTGTCCTTGGTGGGCACCGCTGACACCCTGCCTCAGATTCAGGATGAGTTCAGGTTAGTTCCTCTGTCTCTTTGTTTGTCTTTCGTGTCCCTAAATGTTTTATTTGGCCTCCCATTCACAGACAGCTGAGACAGTTGCCTCAGTACACATACCAGTTATTTTTATACAGTGAGGCTTAGCTAGCTATGCTGTATCATATTAGCATTTAGTAATAGCCTACTATATATTTATTTTTACATTCTAGGCTAATTTATATGCTTTCTAAATAACGAATATATTCCTTTCACAAATTAAAACAGTCTAAACTTACCGACTGCTCTCTATTATGTATCAGTTCAATTCTTTGTCAACACAAATAATAAATCAGCCAATCGCATGGCGTTTTCTTGACGCACTCTGAACCCCGTAGTAGCAGCCCAGCTGATGCTGACTGCATCTATTCCTTTTTGGCCACAATGTCCCCGTCTACTGAGGGACTCCTTCAGCTTCACTGAGTTTCTCTGACTGAAGTAAAAGGGTTGTTAGACGTGATATTAATTTTAAAAATTACTTCTGCACTAATGGGACATTATAATGGTTCAGCTTTAGCACATCATCCATCTTTTCACACGATTTAATGTGCTGAGAGGATTAAGGCTACAAAGTAGCATTATGTTTGATAATTCTTCCAGCAAGGTTTTTAGATTGCTCATGTGCACAACAGCTTTCCTCTTCCTGCTCAGGGAGATAAATGTTGACTGTGGCGGAGAAATCTTTGCTTTTGCAGTGCCATGCTGTCATCTGCCCACAGACCTTCTGGTTTCAACAGAAACATATGTACTTAAACAAACAAAGGTCATGTCAGGGTCTGAAATCTTGATCGTCAGACTGAATCCTGTTGCCTGATGGGCCAAACTGACCGCGCAGTAATGCAATGTACAAAAACTGATCAAAATTCAAACACTAGACTTAGAAAGAACACATTTAAATGTCTCCCGCTATGGCGTGAAAGTAAAGGAAAGGAAAGCCAAGACACAATGAGATGTTGTTGCAGAGGTTGCCGTCTCATTCATTCTGTGAGCTGTGACTCAGGTCTGTAGGAGATGAGTGGCAGTGGGATCTTGCGTAACACCCTTTCCTGACAGGGTGCACATCATCACCTGGAACGTGGGCTCTGCCACGCCACCTGATGACATCACCACTCTGCTTGGACTGAACGTGGGAGACGGAAACACAGACATGTACATCATAGGGTGAGTGGGTGTCCTGTGTGGGGGACACATCAGTGGGTTCCTCACTGGTCACTTTATGATGGCTTGTCCTGCATATTATGCTGAGGAAAAATCCTTATGGATTTCTCCTACTTCAGTTGTTTTTTTTTTGTCACAAATAAATGTTTTAGATTATCAAACGAAATTCAATATGAGACTAATATAACCTGAATAAATACAATATGTAGCTTTTAAATGATGGTTTTCTTTTTTTTATTATTTAGAAAATAGCTCTCCAAGCAAACCTGGCTCTGTGTGGTAAAGTAGTGGCCTTCAAGACCTAATAGCTGGTTGGCAGTGACAGCTGCTACACTGCTTTTGATAACAGACATCACTTTTAGATCGTGTGGAGGAGTGGTTCATGGAAAATGTGTTGCTTTTCGAGACTTTTCTGCCTATTTCTTGTTGTCAAAGAGGTTCAGTTTCAGCAATTTCTTGATTCTAATGGACAGCCCATTCTCTGGCTCAGTTACAAACCAAATAAATGTGATTAATTACTACTGTTATTTCTCGATTTAACAACAGTGGTGGTAATGTTTCCATGTGGGACCAGGCTGGTATTTAAAGTAGCTCTTTTCCCCTTAAGTAATTGAATTATCATCATAAAACTGCATATTGTATTTATTTAAATTAGTTGCTCTGAAACATTTCAGTGTGACAAAAAAGCAGAGTGTAAGCAGTCTGCAAAGGGGGGAAATATTTTCTCAGAGCACTGTGGACACAGTGTCGACGGTGCTGGTAATAAAGTGTCGGATTGAGAGTTAAATGTGTCCAACTGGAAATTCTCTGGGGTTTATTTTTTGTGTCATTTTCTTTCCAAGGCTGCAGGAGGTGAACTCCATGATTAACAAAAGGCTGAAAGACGTCCTCTTCACAGACCAGTGGAGCGAGGCCTGCATGGAGAGTCTGAGCCCCTTTGGTTATGTGCTGGTCAGTAATAGTTTGTTTTCCTTGCAAATAGTAATGCTCACTCTCGGAATAAAACGCTAAACGGCTCATCTTTGTGCATGCTGTATTATCACTGGGGAGATCTCAGCTTCTTGCTGTCTAGGCTTATTTTGTTCCCTCAGCAACGGATGGGGTGATGATTTATAACGGGCATCTATGTCAGTGGATCTATTATCCTCTGCTGTCTGCAGAGCTCTCACTGAGTGTTCCTCACTGCAACTTTGTAGCTCTATAATTTACGCCTTAAAGGGTCCATATACCAAGAAATTATGGTAATACTCAGATGTGGTTGAGTACACCTGCTTCCAAAAAAAAAAATCTACATAAGACATTTACCAAGAAAAAGCAGTAAATTCTCTTGTTGTGTTTGCAGTTTTCATATCGAAGCACACATTGCAGCTGTGGTAGGTGTGGCACTGGCTGCTTCTGGAACAAAGCGTGGCACGGTTGCTGTGCTGAGCCAGAGTGCGTGTGAATGAGCTGTCAAGCAAAAAAGTGTTGGACAAATGTCTCCCAGGGTGCCGTTTTATTTTTGGATCATGTTGTCGGTGTGGACGCGCCTCTGACAGTGAAATTGATGCTGTCCCCCAGCTATTACATGGCTTACTAGGTTGGTTTGATCCTCTTCAAATTCATCTTTGTGTGTCTGCTTCTGGTGAATATTGAGACAGTAGGTCAGGAGTTTTGAAACACAGGACGATTTTTTAAAGCAATTGTTCCATAATAGGAAGTTACAACGCCTTACAAAAGTAATAATTCCCCTCACTAATTATTTACTGTGCACCCCGAGGCTTTAATGTATGTCAATAGGATTTTATGTTATCCACCAACTCAGTGGTGTGCAGTTATGAAGTGGAAGAAATTATACATGGGTCTCAAAAGATTTTAATAAAAAAATGCAAAAGACATGTTGTGCAAACCCAAACAGCCTTTTCTTGTCTAGAGCCCCAAAACCTACAAGACACTGTAAACAAGTTTTACCTATCACATTTTCAAAATACTTCCTAAATGGTGATTTTTTTCAATTTTTATATATTAGAGGTGCACCAATTGCTGGCTTATTGTCAAATAGCAATTTTTATAAACCCTGGCCAGCTGATTCCGATTTTTCCCGATACAAATTATTTTTGTTTGAAATGTTGCTAAATCCAAGAAAGTTGCTGAGTTGGAAACAGTGATTCACTGTTGTTAGCTGCAAATGTGCAGACATGGCCTGGTGGGCCATTCTGTCAGTCAAACCTCTCTCACAGCAGAGCAAAAGAACACTGGATTTTATTTAGTAAAGAGAGGCTAAATACATGCCAGACAGTGTGCATCCTTTTCCTTCCAAGTCAAATTATCCACCAATTTGTGTTGGTCTATATCTTCAAATCCAGAGGAAACACATTGAAGTGTGGCTGTAATATGACGAGATGTGAAAAATATAAAGGGGCATCAACGGTGAACAGACACAGTAACGAAAGAGCTCATCTGTCTTGCTCTCTGCTCTCTAAGTCTTGTTTTCAGGTTCCTGCGAGTACAGGAATCAGCCCTTCGCTGCAGTAGTACAGAGCTTACGCGGCACTTTTATTTACTGGTGATTCACCACAAACTTTCTGCTGATCGCCTCGATCATTTCTGTGTTTGTAAGCTAGAGTTTACACTGTCTAACAGTAGCATGGCACAAACCAGTAAGTTTGGGAAATCAAGTTGTTTCCAATAAACATAATTTACATCATTTTAATGAAGCGTGGTTATTGCTCTAAATAATGAAGTGTGGAGGAGGACTGTGATGTTTCTGTTGTCATCTGTGTCAGAGACTGGGATGAAGAAACTGTTATTTAAAATTAACAAGCCTCCCTGCTGACGTCACCATTTGTTACTCACAGTTCATTTCCTTTGGCATGGACAGTGTTGCATAAAGTCAAATGTACATATCTGGCCCGGTCACTCGTCTTTGGGTCTCAATAACTTATCTGCTCTGAGCAAGAGTGGGACAGATATTGATTAGAGATCCTTTTCAGCCACAGAACAGGCAGGCAGCGTTATGTCGGATGGCTTTATAGTTGCGATGAACCTCTTACGCAACAAAGTTGTTCAAATAGGCTGTTAGTATGCAGAAAAAATGAGGCTAGTCACGTGGGGATGTTTGCCTGTGAGGGATTTCAGTCCGGGTGTGATTGTGCTTCTTCAGACTGTGGTTGGGGGTTGGGATCTGTGGACGACTTGACAGAGAGGGGGGGGGTTGGGACATGTGTACATGTCTGGGAACAGGTTTGACATATCATGCACATTCCTGTTCCCGTACTTGACGTTGTGGTGTGTTTAACGCCACAACAATACCTCCAGTGTTGTTTAATGTCAGAGGAACACAAATGTCATGATCTGCATATTGTACTGGAACACAACACAAGACTGGAGGTTGGAGGATAAAGAGCGCTAATGTTACCTTTCTTCCTATGTTTGGATGAACTAGATGCTGTTCCGTCCTCTATGTACACTGCATTGTGTTCAGGAGCTGCACAGCAAAGCCGCAGGCACTTTGACGAAGGGTCATGATGTTTTGCATTTGTACAGTTGTGCTTTTGTGCAACTCATGCAAAGTCGCTCATCATATCTCTCCTGCCTTTTTATGCTCCTAGCCTTACCCAGCTTTACATTTCTGTCCCTCAGGTAACATCCGAGCGAATGCAGGGCCTGATACTGCTGGTCTTTGCCAAATACTTCCATCTGCCTTTCCTTCGTGGAGTCCAGACAGAGACCACCCGCACAGGACTGGGGGGTTATTGGGTAAGATGGCTACCGAGACCTGCAAAGGGTTAGAGAAACCGCACCCACTGCGGCTGAAGGCGTGCATTCCAGTTATTGATGCATTGATGTAGACATAAGCAGGAAAGAGTGTGCCCTATCAGTTTTTAGAATTTGTTAGTCAAATGCTGTGTCGTTTATATGTAATGCTAAAATGATGCATGTCAGGATCTAACAAACAGGCTCTCTCAATGCATGGAAAGTCAGTTAGAATCAACGGTGTCAGTGAGTCTCATTAGTCCTGAATCCTGATCTTAAAATCCAGTACGACTGATGCGTACAAAAACCATTGTTATAGCTCCTACAATACAATTTCTTTCTGGGTATGTTTCATTAAAACTCTCACACACTCACACTCATTACTTTGCAACATTTGTCAGTGAACCTGCTTCTTTAATGTCTCAATAATATCCAAAAAAACTATTTTATTGTCTTGTATTTCTACCAAACGGCACAATATTTTCCATCTTGCCACCAGAACATAGCTAAGATGGGTTTGCTGTGATTTCCAGTTATTTCTGATTAACTGTTATCTGCTTCAGCTCATTCTGGGAGTTCTTTAATTATTCTCCACAGTCCCTCTCTTTTGACTCATTTCTGTCTAAAGCAAAGATCAATGTACAAAATATCTTCAGTGTACCACTAACATCAACCCAAGTATCAGCAGGGGTACTTGTAGCACAGCTTAAGAACCGTTGAATTTCATTATTATAAACCTTTAGATCAATTTTTGCCGTGTTTGCCAAGATATCCAGATTTTCTTCTGGAGCATTGTTTTAATGAGTCACAGGAGTAGTAGCAGAGAATCCACTGACTCATTTTGTCTCCCCCCCCCGGTGTGCACCTCACTCTCTGCATCAAATATTGATGCTGTCTGCTCTTTAATGAGGGCACTTCCTGTTTCGCTGTGAAGCATACCCATACAGCCGACACACACCATGCTACTTACTGTTTGAGGAGGTTTATTATAATTACTGATGATAATCAATCATATACTCAGTAATTATTACATTTTCATTCAGCAACATGTAAAAACGATGACTGCTAATGCTTTTTGTTTTGTATGTTGCTCTTAGACGTTTAAGAAACCCTCAGTTAAAAACCTCCGTTCTGCCTTTTCTGCAGGGGAATAAAGGTGGCATTAGCGCCCGCATGACCGTGTTTGGCCACAGCGTCTGCTTCCTCAACTGCCACCTGCCTGCTCACATAGAAAACCATGAAGACCGTATGTACGACTTCGAGAGCATCTTGCAGCAGCAGCAGTTTGATAGCCAGGGGGCCACTGGTGTTCTGGATCACGAGTAAGTCTCTGCACATACATCCACAGGTTCAGACATCTATTAGTCATGAATCAGACTGGTTAATATGTAGTTTTTGTAAGCTTTGGAAACATCAGATGAGACCACTGGAATATTTAAATGTACAGTGAATAGCAGCAGTGTTTGTGTTCATTAAATGGTGTCTACTGTTGAAACGGGTGAAAGATTTATGTTTTTTCCATTACCAAACAAGACAACAAAGAGATGAATGAGCCAATGGCTCACTGTTGGAGCTCAAACAATACTAGGATGTTCTATAAAGAAGATCTATGGTAACAATAATGTATTTTTTATTATTTCATTTACTGAGAAAAAATATAGAAAAGAAAGACATTTAGTACAATTGTATTCTGAGTTTCCAGTACTACTTCATTTGTTATCAAAATGTTAAAATCAAAATTTATATAAAGAAAAACAAAACAGATGTGCTTTACTTTGACTAATATATCCAGACTGTAAACTATATGTACTGAGTCACTTTAGAGTTTAAGTTATGTTTTTGTTTTTTTATAAATTTTTTTTGTATTAAATATTCTAATTTTCTGAGAAGATGCTTTTTGGATTGATTAAAAATCAATGCCTTAGACAGATGTTACTCTGTTTTATATTGATATATAAATATATTTCACATTTTGAATTAAATGACCAAAATAAACAATCTTATTCTAAATTACTGAGATGCTCGTGTATGTGTCTGCTGTCAAAACCCATAAACACAAGTCCTTTATAATGCTCCGGTTTTTAAAATTATACATTCTCATCAAATCTTTTCTTTACTTTCAGTATTGTGTTCTGGTTTGGGGATCTTAATTTCCGCATTGAAAAAATGGATATCCAAGCTGTGAAATCAGCGATCGAGAACAACAAGTACTCCATGTTGTGGGAGAATGATCAGGTAAAAAGAAGAGGGGTTTGTGTTGTGTGTTTTACTAGAGGACTCTGAAACTATTCAACTACTGCTCATTAAAAGTACTTAATACAACATGTGGTTTCTGTTTGCTTTCATTTGCATTTTTAGAAAACTAAAAACCTATATAAACCCAAAGATTATGTCAATTTTCATTATGACTTCTACATTAAAATGAACCAGGACCTCATAATGATTTACTTATTTTCAATTCCTTCATTCTGCCACTAGAGGGAAATAGAGACACCCACAATTCTGTAAGCAGTTAATTTATGAGAAGGCGTGCGGTTTATTTATTGTAATTTTCTGCAGCTAAACATGACCAAAGACAGTGAGACCGTGTTGGAGGGATTCCAGGAGGGGCCGCTGAGATTTCCTCCCACCTACAAGTTTGACGTTGGAACAAACACGTACGATACAAGGTTGGTGAGGCCAGGGGGGGTATTTCAGATTCTAGGCCACTGATCACAGATCAGAGCCGAGCAAAGAAACAGTTATTACACTCTGATGTCTGAAAGGTCCCCACTACCCTGAAGGGGATGTGAAAATGCTTCTTTTTTTTTCCCCTCCCACATTCTTCGTTTTAAAAAGCAGTTTCTCAGCCTTGTTCAATCTTTGTCTCAAAATCATTCCAGTGGGAAGAAGCGTAAACCAGCTTGGACTGACCGGATCTTGTGGCGCCTGAGGGCCACAGCACCAGCTGCTCAGAACGTGGCAAAGCGTGTTTCGGTTTCGGGGTTGGCCAGCGGGATCAGAGTAACGCAGCACTTCTACCGAAGCCACATGGAGTACTTAGTCAGCGACCACAAGCCGGTGTCGTCCATCTTTACCCTGGAGGTGAGACACAGTGGGAGACATTATGAAGATGCTGTTTTACTATTAGGATCTGTGAAACATTGAAATACCAGTTCTAACAACAAGTTCATTTAAAGAAGGTTATCTGGACTCAAATGTTTTACCCAGTAAATAAACAGTCTTCACTCAAATCAATGCGTATATGCATACTCTCTTTACTGATGATCTGAATATTGAGGGTTTATATTCAGATTACTTCCTGCATAATTGGTAACCAAGATTTAAAGACCTTTCATACAAAAAAATAGCAGCCGAGACTTGTGACCTAACGGTAGCTAAAGTATACAAATGTTGCTAATTTGCCACTTAAGCATGAGAACACCGACAACCCAACAGCTTTAGCAACTTTTGTCCTGCCTTTATGTACTTACAATTACAGTCATGGGCAAAAGTTAAGATTGACGGAAATCTTTTTTTGCACACTTTACTGCTTTGTTTTTTGTGGATGTTTGCATTGAGTCTAAGGTGCATTTATTTCCACTATTAAATTTGTTTTCAGCTAAGCAGAATGACCTGTTAGCTTCCCTTGGCTCCAGAGAAAACGTCAAGAGAACAGGGCAGCAATCACTCGTTTAATGTATTTGAATTTAAAGAGTAGGGAGGTTTCTTTTAAAAGAGGGGTGCAATTAAAATTGTTCTTCTTTTCTAAACTGTGGTTGCCTCCAAGGAAATGCATACTATCATTTTCTATTTGTATTAAATCATCTGAAGTTCATCAAGAAATTTGAGTAGAGCAGTTCATCTGTTGCTTAGAAATCCTCAGGATGTCCAAGAAAGTCTTACAAGTGCAGGGATTGTCTGCTGTAGAGGGTTCAACTAGGTTGCCACCGAGTCAGAGCTTGAAAGAAGCAAATTCTCTCAAAGATGGCACTGGGATCTTATGGTTGAACATTTTGATCATGATTTTCACTTCTGTTAAACAATGTCTTAACAGAATGTCTTACATGCCTTAGCTGCTTGCATTCTTCCCATTGTGATGCGGAAGGGGTGACAAAGCAGCTCAAGGAGCAAGACAATCATTTTTGGGACCGTGGCCATATAGAAAACCTCCGCAAAATCTTAATCCCATCAAATTACTGTGGTTTATAATTAATAAAAATGATGAACTGACAAACTTCAAGCCCTGAAAAAGCAGGTGTGGGTCACCATAAGTTAGGGTTTCGCTAGAAGTTCTAGAAGTTAGAACAAGTACACCATAGTCAATTACAGACATTTTGAAAATGAAAGATCAGCACACATGTACTGAGTAGGTGGATTTATTACTAAATATAAGCCTTTAACTTATGAATTGTTTATTATTGAATGTCTTTGTACCATCAAAACCTCCCAGGAGAAGGTTTAGCAAGACTGGAACTGCAAAGTTACTGAGTAAAAAAAAAAAAAAAAAAAAAAAATCGTGTCACTGTCCTAGTTTTTCTCAGCTGCTGGAGTATTTCTGTCTCTCACAACAATTAAGGCATATAATTTTAGCAGTTAATGTTTTAATAGTTTTTCCTTCTATTTTAATCTGTGGAGCCCATCTCAAAGCCCCGTACAGTATTTCGTGACCCACATCAAGAGACTTATGCTCAATCTCTTCAGTTTCCATACAGGGCAGACGTTCCTCTGGTCACTCTCATAGTGGAGGATGAGTGGAAGAGTTATGATGATGCAAAGGTGATATTCAAACTGATGCCCAGCTATTCTCGAAGTGCTTGGGACTGGATTGGATTGTACAAGGTAACTTGTCGTACTGCTTCCTCCCCGTTATAGTGTCATTGTCAGCAAACACATCTGCAGACGTAATTTCAAGAATTTTGTGTGAAATAATTAATGTTGTAATTTTTTTGTTGCGCCAACAGGTGGGTTTCAAGCACCATAAAGATTACGTGGGATACATGTGGGCTAGGAATGAGGGGGCAAATCTCTACAGCCAGGAACATCAGGTAATCTAGAGACACGTTGAATTCTCTTCTTGGAGAATATTTCTGTCGCATTCGATAAATATTTGAAAATCTTTTCTCCAGTTACAGTTTTCAGAGGAGGAATTACCCAAATTCTCAGGGGATTTTATCTTGGGTTACTATAGCAACAACATGAGCACCATTGTGGGTGTAACAGAGCCATTTCAGGTAATCATAACGCGTTGCTTTTATCTTTGAGCTAATAAAAAGCTTTTATCTTCATCTTCACAGTTTACTGGCATTTTGCAGCTTTCTCAACACTTTTCCATCCATCCTCAGATCCAGCTGCCCGCTGAGAGCGATTCAGGCAGCTCTTCAGACAGCTCTGACGTCAGCTCAGAAAACGACAGCACTGTTGTCATGAAGTTGATGACCCGCAGTCCAAGTTTACGGCGCAAACACCGCAGTCGCAGCCGCAGCCGTGGCCGCAGCCAAAGCAGCAGCCAAAGCCGCAGCCGTAGTTTTAGCGGCGGTCGTTCCGGGAGTATCGCTAGCAACCTTTTGAGCAGCCTCTCTGGCAACTTTTTCAGCAACGTCCCTAGCAGCCCCCCCAGCACCCGCCCTACCAGCCGCTGTGGCACCCCCGCTAGCAGCCGCCCCAGCACCCCTACAGAGCTCAGGGTGATGGAGGTCAGTCTCGCTGATGGCACCGCTGCAGGGAGCGAGAATACGGGACGCCCAGCAGAGGGCAGCCAGAGTCAAGGGGCAACAGACAAAAACAAGGAGTGTTCAGGAATGTGATGCAACAAAAGCCCCGGTGTTTTTACAGGTTACATAACCAACTGTTGTGTCTTTATTTCATACATTCACAGCTCTGTATGTTTTCTGTGAGGAAAATATACAGTTTATAATGCCATCCTTTTCAGAAATAGTCATCTGGTTGGTTACAATGTTTCTACTTGCCGTTGAGTTGTGCACTTGGCATATTGTGTTTTTTGTTTGTTTGTTTGTTTGTTTTTTGTATATCTTTCACTCTGTCCGGAGTTTTCTCTACCTTTGTCCGTTCTCAGGTGTGGACAGTACAGGGACTGACAACTTGCATTTAGATTTTCTCACAGATTCACAGTTATAAAGTGACACACACTCCATCATCACTTTTCACAACAATATTTGATCTGCCAAGTCGTTGGGTCAGTATAGTTCAAATCAACAACATAAATAGATAAAAAAAAAGTAATTTAATTATTATGTAGTAATTTGACCCTAAGTTCTGAATCAAATCTAACTTGTTAGCAGTGCATTGTAAAAGTATGTGTGTACTTCCTGAACATTTACACATTTTATCACATTACAACAGCAAACTGCAATGGGTTTGCTGGAGGATTCTAAGTGATAGATCAACACAAAGTAGTGCAGTACAAGCAAAATCATATGTAATTTTTTTTACAAATACTGTTTTCTATTAACATTCCCCAAAACTTTATTTTTCACAAACCACTTTTCCATTTAATTACACCTGCAACAGTAGTGTTGGAAAAAAAAAAATTAAATTAGAGAATTCTGTTGATAGCTGGGGAAATTATCCAAATATGAACCGCATATCACACCCAGTTATGAAATGATTTCTGAGTTTGGTTTAAGCTTGTAGTTCTGGCTGGTTGCATAAACTATACGTCATCGCTGCATCACTCCATTGACCTGTGAACCTGACTTGTCCCTATACAAGTCTCTGACTGCCTCACTTGCCTCATCACATCTGTCTTTTAACAAAACGTGGAGGCTCAGGTGACGCCTTAATCTTAATCCCGTGTGGATTAAAGTGCTGCAAGGTGAACCTCTGCCCCAGTCTCAAGTTGTTGTTTTTCAGGAACAAAAAAAACTTGAACTTTTGGTCTGATTTGACCAGAGCACCATCTTTCACATGTTTTCTGTGTTCCATACATTAATTTTGGCAAACTGCTTGTGTCTTTGGGCTTATTTAAATAATGTCTTTATTTATTTTCTTACTACTTTTTGACTTGGTCCAGATCTGTGGAGTCCACTTCTAATAGATTTTCTGTCTACAGATTTGCCCACCTTACCGGTGGATCTCTGCAGCTCCTCCACAGTCACCACAGGCCTCTTGGCTGCTTCTCTGATTAATGTCCTCAATATCAGACCTGTTATTCGGTGGATGGCTTCAACTTGGTTGAAGTACAGTTTTGCTATTTTTTTGTTCTACTTGTTTTAAACGGTACTTTTTGAAATGACCAAAACTTCACCATAACCTTTCTTCTATCCTGTTTATGATGTTCGGGTCTTCATGACGTTCCATCAACTTTCACCAGTGAACCTCTGAGGATATAATTTCCCTTCCAACTTGTCTTTGTGTATCATGAAAGGTCTCAATAAAATACCTTAAATTTGCATTTACAACAAAATGTGAAATAGTTAAAGGGATATTAATACTTTTGCAAGGCACTGTGTAATCTCACTGCCAGCGTATATCACACTACTAGTGTCTGAAAGCTGCTAAAGCTGCATGACTTGGCTTGCGAAAATGGAAAAATGTTCAACAAAGACGGTTGAGATGGTTCTTCTGAGTCCTGAGCTTTATTGCTTTCTGCAGCAAGAACAGCACATCAGATCCCTGTGGACTCTGTGCACTGCTCTGAAGATTCACACAGTCTTTTAACAGTTTTCTACACACACCCACAAAATCACACCATCCTCAACACACATTAAAACACTTTAGAAACTTGTTACCCCTTTGATTAAAAATCTATTCTGTCCAGCCTCACAACACAAATTAAAGAGTGTATCAACTCTGTGTTTTCGCTCTCTGAGCTCGTCGTCACGCCTATGAAATCACAATTCACTTAGTTATCCAACACGTTAAAAGGTCAGCATGTCATACTATTGACTGGTGCCACTTATTTTTGCATAGAGAAACATACACAATTTCTATCACACTTGCCTTGTGGTCCATACTTTGACCTGTCAGTCATAAAATATGCAGGAAGCACTTCAAATGATTCTTTCAGAAGAGATTCATCCTTCCTGGATGCATTAAAATCAGAGACAGTGGATCAGAGGCAGTGATTCAGGAAGCTCTCAGACGCTCAACACATTCTAGTCTAAAGAGTAAGAGCATGGGCGCCCTTAAATAGATCGTTGTCCAGTCAATAGCAGGATGCTGCGGGTTTGGACGGAGGTGTTGGGTGTCACAGCACAGCTGTCCCACCAGAACTGGTTGAGTAACGGCTGACCAGGCCTGAACTACAGAGGTGATGACTGCAGCAATACCTGAGCTGATCCATTGTGACGCATTTATGCACACACACACACACACACACTCCTGAGCTTCATAGGATTATTTTTAAAAGCTTTTTTTAAGAAAAGAAAATTGCATTGTTTAATTGGATTTTAAGTCTATGTTAAAATAAGAAATATTTAAATCATGTTTTTTTTGTTTTTTGCTCAAACTCTGAAGTTCAATCTGGAAAAATTTTACAAAAGTGGGCAGTAAATTTGCTGGATTGACCTGCTGGAGAGATTCTTATGTACCTATAAGCCCCGTCAATCAAAGATGAAATGCTTAACTGTAGATTAACATGACGGTGGGAGTGAATAAACTTTCCTTACTGAATGTTTTAATTTTTAAAAATGTGAAATATATATATATATATATATATATATATATATATATATATATATATATATATATATATAGTTGAAGCTTTTTTCTTTCTTGCTCAGATTTTTCCCTCTTTGATCCTATTAATAAGATGATGACAACCGTAGTCTCAGTCGTGGTGTTTTATAGTTACCGTGTGATCTCTGATGCACCGTTTTAGACGTGTAACTTTGGGGCTGTTAGAGTAGGACTGTGCTGTGGCCGTAATTTGTGTGTGTATGTCTGTAGTTAGTTGTTTGTGTATGTGTTTTTTCTGAAAGTGTGCGAGTGTGTGCTTTGGATGACAGATGTGTGCGTGTGTGTGTGTGTGTGTGTGTATGAGTTACGGGGGCCGTTGAATGGGACTGCGGCTGTACTTGCATGGTTTGCTGCTGGACATACCGTACATTCCGGTACTGTTGTTTTTGTGCCGTAAAGTGCTGTTTTTGACTCCTCTTTGTCATATTTGTGACTGTGAAAATTCTTAGAAAAACGTGATAAAGACAGTATGAATTTTTGGCTTCGATATTAAATGTTAGTGCAAGAAAAAATATGGGTAGTTGTACTCGGATAAATTTGAGATTAAATTAATCTTTTCATGTATTTTCCTGATTTTTTTGAAAGGGATTAAAAGAGCAACCTGCTGGACGTTTCTTTGACATGAAAATTAATTGTCCAGGTTTAGATCATTTAGATGCATTCAATACTGCATTCATGAATGGTGACTATTGTGAAATTTTTGCTGAATGTTCCTGTTTTGTAATTGTGTAGGTTAAATATCAAAAATATGAAGTATGTTGAGAAAAATCATACATATATATATAAATATATATATACATAAGAGACAATCTATACCATAAAGATTATTTTACTTAAATTGTGTATTTATTTTCTTATTTAACTTAAATTCTGCTGGCCAGTTACAGAGCTTTATTTCAGGGCAAGTGTCCAAATTATATCAGAGATAATTTATTTTATTTTTACTATAGAGATGATTTCTTTCCATCTTAGTGAATTAAAACTCTTCTGTCATAAGTGTAGATGGTTTCGTCTACGTGTGTTTAAATAATTGTGATTGAATGACAACAAAATTCTTAAAACCTGGATTGCTGATCCATGAAAATGTTTAAATTCTGCGATCAAAGCATCTCGGAGGTTGTTTATGAATTTGTTGCTTTGTTCTCCAATTACAAATCTAGTACAACACGATCCAAAAGAATAAATTATGATCTTTTGAATTCTGCTTTTTGTCTTTATTGCTTCTGTACACATCTCCAGTACAGTTGCACAGTATTTATACCGTTTGAACTTATATATTTTTTTTTAATCAATTTTATATGTTATATTTGAAACCAGGCAAGCGTAAAAGAAATCCTGAAGGAGATTTCTCTTCCTGTAAGACCTTGAATAATATTAATGAATACAGACAATGTGTCAAATCTGACTGAGTTTGGCCTGTTTTTGCACTAAAGGATAGGAAAAGCCTTCAGTTTTTCTGAAGTATCAAAATCATTCCATTACACATAATGCTACTGTTTCAAATTTTTGTTTCCAAACTGAATTGGAAAACCATGCATCATTTATTTTTTTTTTATCACTTTGTAGTTATGGGATACTTTGAGTTTATGTATCATAAAAACTCCACTAAAATCTATCAAAGTTTGTGATACTGAGACAAAAAGTGAAATGGTCAGCTTTTGCATTTGCGAGTTAATGGTATTTCAGTTTTTATTATTGGTAATATTTCTATGAATTTTTACGAACTAAACATGAGAGTCAAAATAAAAAGTTATATGCTGAGTCATACACAGATGCCGTTTAACTCTGTAGTTTCCAGGTTGCTTTGAAAAGAGATTTGTCTCCGTTTGTGAGTAAAAGTCGGTAAAGTGACATATTTCTCTCAAGAGGTTAAAGAACTGTACTTCTCCGAATTTTTGCTAAAATTAGAAGAGGCATTTTCTCTGTTATTGAGCTGCTATTTCCCTCTGACAGGTCATTCTGCTACTGACCTGCTATTTTAACCATCTACGTAAATATACAAGAGTAAATACAATTAGAGATCCTGCAGAGGGCAACATCCAGGACATCTTGCATCATGCTTTTCCACCCTTTGTAACAAGTGTCCGCAGTGCTTATTCATGCTGACTCTTCCTTTCTGATGCAACACTGCTCAGCGATTGACCTGCATGGTCTGGTGACACAAATAAAAACCATAAAACACAGTAATAGTCAGAGGCTGAACTGAGCCAAATGATAAAGGCTGGCAGTAAAATCAAGGTTGTCATGTTAACAACCTTTTCCTCAACAAAACAGATTCAATTTTCTCTCCTTTAGTTTTCAGAACATAGACGGTGTTTATTATCACTGTCTGTGATCTGAATTATACATTTTAATCTTAACTCATTAATAGGGAAAAAAACCATGTAATTGTTTTATTTGATAAAAGCAAAAATGTTCTGTACATAAAAGGCTGATATTCTCCAAATCAAATTTTGTTTTGGGGTTATAGCCAACGTAGCAGATTAAATTGATTAACTAAGTCTATCTCTGGGTTACTGTGGAGCAGCATGTTCACAAACATCACATTTAATCATATTACACAGGAAGGCCTAAAGCAGTAGATGTACATCTGAGCTTTTTAAGCATTAATTATTTTTCAGATACAGTTTTCTCTGCGTATATTGTTCACCTGAAGGCCACTTTTCACTCTGAAACCAAGTCAGACGTGATCACTGGCCAGGTTTACGTGGTTCTCTCACCAAAACCATCATTTTCTGTGAGTGACTTATCAGATTGTTTAGAGTGAGTTATACCAAAGAGTGTAAATGACTTTAGGAAAATGACGTTTTACCTGTGTCATAAGTTTGTTCAGTGATAAAACACCCCCCAAATGCCACAATACTTGCTACAATTAAATTTGCTAAATTATTTGTTTATATACTTCTTGATTTAAATGCAAATTAAATGTGTAAAAGTTCAATTATACTTTTTACTCAAAGTAAGATATTGTTTTTAAGCAGTTGATGTTTAAGTTCTTTGTAAATTCTGTAAAAATTGAAGTTTTAAATCATGATTTGGCAAATTTACCTCATGACAGTACACAGTAAATTTGTGGCCATTTAAAAATGCAACATTCAAAGTTCTTGAAGGAAAGGCATATTGTAGTACTGTCAGTGTCACATTTTTAGTCAATTTAAGAACTTATAGATTTAAAAAAGCAAGATTTCTAAATGTTTACTTCTCCACTTTTTTGCACACCCAATTCTAGCCGATGTCAAGATAAAGTGGTAAAAACTAGAAGAAATACTGCTATATTAACTGCCAGATGTTTGCAAATTCAGCATCAAAGTTTTACTCATGTCCAGGTTTAGGTTGTGCAGTTTTTATGAGTTGGTTTTCAGAGTTCATTTTACAGCATTTTAGTCATTTCTGGAACTTATTAAAATTTAACTTATTTGTTTAAATTTCTAGTTTTCTATTGCTCTTTGTAGGATTTCTTCTACAACACACTCCTCCCCCTGCTGTTTTCTCTCATTAATTCATTTAATAATTAGTTAATTAATTCATTCATTTCCTATATGTGCTTGTCCCATTAGATCTCAGATATGCTTTGCAAAGAAAACCAAGACTGCATATAGCGACCAATTACACAATAAAATACGTAAACAACATCATTGCAAACAATTAGACTAGAGTTTTGACAAAGTCCTTAAAAATACACTGGGACACACGTTTTTGTGGTAAGTTCAGATTGCCAAGTATTATGCCATCAACTAAAGAGCTTTCTTTACAATATAAATTGTTGCTCAAAGTGGAGAGTCTTATTATTATTTTTTGATTTGTTTCCATATTACAAGAATGACTTTTCTCCAGAATGACTTGGCATACCAGTAAAAAGGGTGACTCCCAGTTTATAAAGTATAACAGAGCGCTGAGAGAGAAAACAACAGTTAGAGATTATATCTCGATACCCAACGTTATACATTACACAGCATGTGAAGAATTAACAGATGAATTCATTTTCATTGCTTACAATAGACAACAGGGGGCAATATACCAGTTGAAAAAGACCAAATCACAATCATGATTCATTTTGTCTAGGTATTGTTGGGTAACACTTGACCAAGCACCGAACCAAGTGAGATTCATTTTGAAGCTTTATAAAAGTAAAATTTAAACATTGTGTGTGTGTGTGTGTGTGTGTGTGTGTGTGTGTGTGTGTGTGTGGAGAAGCACAGAAAGTATTTATACATGCAAAGTCACGTGGAATTTTGCTGATAAAAGCATCACACTGTTAAATATTTTATTTATGAGCAGAATTTCAGACAAACTGAGATAAAATGACATTTAAACGGACCTCCGCTTATTCTGTATGATTTCACATTTCAAAAATCCACTATATTGATATAAATGTTCGCGTTCACTGGGAGCAAACTTGACTCTTGTTTCAAACGTAGAGTTGTTAAGCATGTGATTTTTGTCAATTTCGGACCAAGCACCGCATTCCTGCTCGTAGTTGGGTGCTGCCTCCTGATAGGTTCAGCAACACGGACCGCCTCCTCTGACGTCAGGACATCAGACTTCACAGTATAAATAATGGAGCTCTGCGCCATGAGGCTCAGGTTTAAGGATCAAACACAGAGGCGCTGTAATTCCGTGCTCTGAAATAACAGAGAAAAAAAAGAGTCAGGTTTATTGAAACGTGATACCTAGTCAGCGTAACATTCATATTACTTTGTAAAAGCAGCCGCAGCCATGATGAACGGAGAAATTAATGGTTTCCACAACTCCCTGATCGAGGAGGACTGCTTCTTGTTCACCTCAGAGTCGGTGGGAGAAGGACACCCCGGTAAGGCTCGACATGCCGGCCTTTTCTGCTTCACATACCAGGCAGTTTTACAGCATTGTTTTAAGGTTGTGTCTTTTCTGCCTCTGTTTTTACTCGGTACTTGTAATTTTGAGTGTCTGTCTTGCATAAAAAGCTGTAAATATTTAAGGCAATTCTTTCCAGCCTCGCGGCTGTCGCGGGCCAGTGCTCGGAGCACGCGCTGCTACAAGCTAATGCTAGCTAGCTCATAAAATGCTGAGTCCTGTAGAGATTTTTCCCACATCGTGGACATGACTGGACACACAAAGGTTCTGGACGTATAATTTGATTTCAGTAAGCAGTGTTTAGCTTTGTGCCATAAGTAGGTTTATATCAAGGGTTGTTTCCGGTCTCGGTCTAGTTGCCCGCGCTGTCTCCTCCACCACATGTACAGCTGCTGAAATGGCGACTGTAACGATACACCGTGTCCCTTCTCTCCCCTTGCCTCAACTGTGACCAGACAGCATTATTACAATTTCTCTCTCTTCAGTCATCTGATGCAGATGTATATCTTTTTGTGACCTTTTTTTCCCCAGATAAAATCTGTGATCAGATCAGTGATGCAATCCTGGATGCCCATCTCAAGCAGGATCCAGATGCCAAAATTGCATGTGGTAAGACATGCTTTATTTCTCTCATTTTCATGACTGATGTATCTAAGATTTGCTTAAGACTAAAGCTCCTTTGTGCTAAATGGAGCAAATCGCTGCAATAATAATGGCTTTAAAGACTCAAAGGTGTATTTCTTATTCTTTTGCATCTGTCTTTCTAATGCAGAAACTGTTGCCAAGACTGGGATGATTCTGTTGGCGGGGGAAGTGACATCGCATGCTGTAGTGGATTATCAGAAAGTTGTACGTGAAACCATCCGTCAAATTGGATATGATGACTCATCCAAAGGTGCAGCATTTATTTTGTTTTTTTCTCCTTAAAGCTTTCCGTTTATACGTGTAGGGGCTTCACCTGCAACTGTTTTCTATACAGGCTTTGACTACAAGACCTGCAATGTTCTTGTGGCTCTGGAGCAGCAGTCTCCTGACATTGCTCAAGGTGTTCACATTGATCGGAGTCAAGAGGACGTTGGGGCAGGGGACCAGGTAAGTAGTCGGTGCAAGATTTAGAGTTTTTTCTGAAGTATTAAATGCTTAAAGCTCACTTACGGTGGTTTTGTTTGTGTAGGGTTTGATGTTCGGATATGCAACCGATGAGACTGATGAGTGCATGCCACTTACAATTATCCTTGCCCACAAGCTGAATGCTAAAATGGCTGAACTGCGACGCAACGGCACACTCCCATGGCTCCGGCCAGACTCAAAGACGCAGGTAGAGTTCTCATATCATGAGCCTTTTGAGTATGCTCATCTAAAAGTGTGAAATATTTGGTAACGGGTGTTAAAAGTTGTTCCATCTTCTGGCTGATGCTTGTCGTGGAAATTGATTTTGGAAGCCTTATTTAATTAATTTGCCTTCTTGCAGGTTACTGTGCAGTACCGTCAAGACCGTGGCGCCATGCTCCCTGTGCGAGTGCACACCATTGTTATCTCTGTCCAGCATGATGAGGAAATCTGCCTGGAGGAGATGAGAGATGCACTGAAGGAGAAGGTCATTAAGGCCGTTGTTCCTTCTGTCTACCTGGATGATGACACCATTTACCATCTGCAGCCCAGTGGGCGATTCGTCATTGGAGGGCCTCAGGTACACATCCCATCATGTGACTTGAATTTAACTAGACATTCTGGAAGTTACTAAATGGGACACAACTGCACTTCTCTACAGGGGGATGCCGGCCTGACTGGACGCAAAATCATTGTAGGCACCTATGGCGGCTGGGGAGCCCATGGTGGTGGCGCGTTCTCCGGGAAGGATTACACAAAGGTGGACCGCTCTGCTGCCTACGCTGCACGCTGGGTGGCCAAGTCCCTGGTAAAGGCTGAACTGTGCCGAAGAGTGCTGGTGCAGGTAAGATGTGTTGCCAAAGTTTGCTGCTTCTCTCTTCAGAGTGAGGGGTTCCCAGAGGTTTCCGCCTGGTGTTTTGCGTGTTTTTTTTTTTTTGTTTTTTTTATATATATGCTTGTTATAACATATGTGTACTATATTAGGTATCCTATGCCATTGGAGTTGCCCATCCACTCTCCATTTCTATCTTCCACTACGGGACCTCCCAGAAGAGTGAGAGAGAACTGCTTGATATTGTGAGGAAGAACTTTGACCTTCGTCCCGGAGTCATTGTCACGTAATGTCAACCTCTGAGGCTTCATCAAACAGCAGTTCCTGGGCCTTCTAGGGGAAACAAAGTATAGGAATGGGCCAGCATTAACATTTTGATTTAAGACAGTTTAGGGGTAATTTTTACACACTGAGAATAATTAGCATAATCTAATTGCCATGTTTTTTTTAATTAGAAAATTGACAAGCATGTCTGCAGCAGTTGAGATGGTGAAATATTTGATTCTTTGAGTATTCAGTCCCACAGAAGATTACTTTCTTTGCACTTTATAGAATTACAAAAGTTGTAATGAACAAACATAAGCTTGCTAGTCAGGCTATCTGCTCCGATACAGTCCACAGTTTTCATGCCGCATCAGCTTATCGGTTGTCGTCTCTAACAATATGCTGGCTTGATATGTGGTACATGTTTTGTTTCATCACTAGTATTAAATTTGAGTAGTAGTATTTTCAAGCGAACATTTTGTCTGTCTTGTAATCAAGGGACAGTGTTATGACTAAAGTTCACCGTTTTTCTGTATAATGTTTGATATTGCACATATAGATAGAAATCTTTGTTTTTGTAAAATGGACAAGTGTGGTTTTTATCTGCAAGCTGAAGCTTCTATCTGAGGGGTAAGTGTTTGAAGATCCATTTTTCCATCCAAGTATCGGCCAGTTTCTTCATCATGGGTCATAAGGCTCGACACTGGCATCTTTACCTTCTTGTGTGAGAATCATTGTGTTTCAGTTTGAGTATGCGATTGGTGCTAAATATTTTGATTATGTATTCCAGGGAGCTGGATCTGAAGAAACCCATTTATCAGAAGACTGCAGCCTATGGCCACTTTGGCCGAGACTCCTTCCCATGGGAGGTGCCCAAAAAGCTCAAATACTAAACCTGTTAAGCTTTTCCCCCCAGGCTTGTTGGTGTATACTACAGAGAAGCCTCCAAGGTTCCAGGGGTGAAATGCACTTCTTTCTTTCCCCTCTCCTCCCCTCACTCTCACACAAATGACACATGACTCCCTGCTTCACTTGATTGTCTTGTTACTGTTTTCTGATGGCTGCGCAGTTGTGCAGGGTTCTAGGAGACCTCAGAAACTTGGTGTTTTAAAGGGTAGGATGGGTTCCATGAACTCATGCGTCGTAGTTCTTCATGTTCTCCTGTCTTGATGTTCCTTCGCTTTCTCGTTGTGATAGTTGCTGAGTAGCTGCATTCATTCGTTCTCCTTTGGCATTCCAGTCTCATCAGTACTGTGAGTCTTCGGTGTGATGTCACTGCGGTAGCATATCTGGCAATATGCACTACCCTTAAGTTTCTGGTGCTACTGAATGTAAGGAGCCTGCATGACATCTAAACTTGCTTGGATGCCTAATTTAACTGATGGAGAGCCTTCACCTGACATGATCCCCTTTCAGTTCAGCTTCTTTAACATTCCTCCTATCAGTTTTTGACACTTATTCCTGATCTGGTGTGTGTTTTTAGTTATATTCACTCATCTTTGTGGAGGATCCTGGAATAGCACAATTAAAATGAAAGGGTTGTTACTGTTGTCACTAAAAATGCTATGCATTGCAGGCTATGGGGAAAGCCAACTCCTAATCATACAGGCTCAACAGAGCATAAGGCCTCAAATTCCCCCACAGACCTTTGCTGTTTTCTGACGTAATACAGAAAAGTCAGAAGCTGCTATGTCACTGCTTTGGTCTGCAGAGGGTATCGGATATACTTGATAGGTATTGGGGAAAAGTAACTTGTTTTATGCATTGAAATTCAATTTTATCAGTTTTTTTTATGGATCCCTTGTTTTTTTTCATGGTTTCAAAGTGGCTAAATATTCTTGTACTCCTTGAGTTTATTGATGGCAGGTGTAGCTACAGAGAAACCTGTTTCACATCTTTAGCTCAACGGGGCGTGATTTTTGCTGCAGAGTCTTATTGACCAGGAAATAAAAACCTCAACACTATTTATTTGTTCTCTGAAACTCAGCGTGGATACAGAGAAGCTGATGTTTTAGAAGGCAGCTTTAAAAAGACTTGGAATTACTGAATTGTGAATTATTTTGACTTTCAGTGTTTGGCTTGAGGTCCCAGAGTGTTGTACAGAAAAGCTTTGGTCTGCCTCGATGCGTCACTGGCAACTGTAATGACTTTTACAGCTTATTTTTATTTCTGGATTGCATAACTTATTTTTTTAGGTGGGTTAGTTTTGAAATCCCGTTAAACTACCAGGTGTGATTCTTTGGCTCTTACCTATCCTCATTAATGTGGTGGCCTCATTTGGCTGGTGTGGTACAGAGAAACCAGCCGTGTTTACATGGCCATCACATGATCTGGATAGACTAAAGGTTTTGGTTTTGTTCCCTTTTGCCACTTGGTGGTCATCCCAATGGATACAGTAAGTGTAAGAGTGCCTTTCTTTTTTCTTTTTCCTCCACCCACTCTAATTTGCTTTTTCCTTCTCACCAACATGCATCCAACTTCCACAGAAACAAGTAGCTCGTTCTGTAATGTGCTCCATGTCCAAATTGGATAGTTCCCTGATGCTCTGTAATAAAAAAAAAAGCTATCCATCTTAAAAACTCTTGTCTGTTATTTTGTGTTTTAAGAGAAGTGTGGACATTTTTTGCAAACATTTCTGATCAAATTCTGATTTCAGTATTGAAATGCACACGAACTGGGTTTAAGCTTGTTGCAAGCAAGTGTTTATACAGAAGTATACAGGAAACAAAAAAATGGTTCCAGCAATAAATGACTGCATTATGTGCATGGTCCTCATTACAATATAGCTTATTTCCCACATGAAGTAAGGACTAGAAGGTGTTGCATTTCCAAATTATGTATCTGAAATAATGTATTTTGAACTAAAAATGTATATAAACCTTTAACACATTCAGTTATTTTCACAGCTACTTAAAAGTTAGTTACATTTGAATACAAAAAACTGTTATGAACTGAATAAAATCTTATTCAAAACATTTTCCATGGAAGCAACTGTAAAGGAAGTTGACTGTGTAAATAAAACAATAATGCTTTTGTAGACATGAAGAGGATCAATACACTATTTATCTGCATGATATGGTTGTCAAAACTTGCCTACATCAGATTTGAAGAACATCTGATATGCTCATTGATGATGGGTAAAGATTTTTCCAGTGATCATAAGATCACATTATAAGTGCAGATCAATATACACTGCTCAAAAAAATAAAGGGAACACTCAAATAACACATTCTAGATCTGAATGAATGAAATATTCTCATTGAATACTTTGTTCTGTACAAAGTTGAATGTGCTGACAACAAAATCACACAAAAATCATCAATGGAAATCAAATTTATTAACCAATGGAGGCCTGGATTTGGAGCCACACACAAAATTAAAGTGAAATGTTCCCTTTATTTTTTTGAGCAGTATATTTGAGGTCAATACGACCTGAATACCATTGAAAGTTATCTTCTCAAAAACTCAACTGTTCTTAGAAAATGTTTGGCACAAGTGTCCGATCTATAATTCAGTTCACCCCTAAGAAAAACTCATGAGTCTATAACTTTGGCTCCTTTACAAACTGTCCATATTTCCTAGAATTTAAACACCAGCCAAGACCCAAACCCGCATAAGAAGATAAGCTAGTAGTGGTCAGTAGCTGGTTTCCAAATATATGAAATAAAAGAGCAGACATATCATTTACTGTCCCAGTGGGGAAATTCAAGCAGCAAGATAATGTTTGGTGACATCAATGGTATTCAGTGCAAACTGGAGCTACATAATATTAACACAACAGTGCAGTATTTAAAAAAAAAATCTTCCTGTGTTTTCTATTTAGTCGATTTTTGTCGTTTCTGGTGGATCGCTTCACTGGAGTTATACTTTTGTTCTGACTTTTTCAGGAATTGAATATTATGTAACGGTAGAAGTTGTTATCAAGACAACTGGCATGACATGTTTAAAAAATGAAGTGAGTACAAGAGTCTGTTATTGACAGCTGTGTGAAGTAGAATAGAAATGTGCTCTGAAACAAGTTTGAGCTGGTCCCACTAACCACTGATCGCCGAGGGCACGAACAAAGGTAACCGCTGTGGCAAACACATCAGGGGAAAAGTGAGCTTTGGGAAAATATCTTAAAATGAAGTTTCTCCAGACAACCAGGAGAGAAAATACTTGTTTTGAATTGACATTTTAATCACTTGCAGAACTTCTTCAAGTCAGTTCTTGTCACTGACTTGTAGAGGAAACGATTATGTAACTCTTGGACGTTGTCAAGAGTTACAACTTAAAAGTTTGTGGTTGAAACACAACTTTTATGTATTTTTGGGGGGATTTTATGTGATAGATCAACCAAAAAAAAAATAAAAAATCACTTAGAGTACATAAAGAATTGTTACAACTGCAAGTATTTTGTCTATACAAGCTTTAGACATGCACAGACATTTTTGCGTGTGTTTAGAGTACAAAGGAGGTATGCAATTGTAAAATATTTTGAAATAACATTTAGTACTTTGTATTGCAAATAAAATCCAGATGTTAAAGTTTGTGGTTTTAACATGACAAAACTTTAACAGATACAAAAACTCCAGCAAAGTACGCCACACTGCCACATGTACGGTTGGTAGAAGCGCTCCAGTTGCACCATGAAGGACGGTTACAGCAGGGGTGCATTTTCATTCCCACCGGCTCAGTCTGATGGCTATATTTAACTGATACTGATGGCTTGGCTGGCGTGTCGCCCTTACTGAACCATGAATGGACAACATTCCTCACCACTACAACACGCTCCCAGCTGAAACACTCTGGGTGTGATAGTTTATCAAGAGCTTTGTGGTAAAACCTTAACACTGATAAAGATCCAGCTCTTTTGCTCTCACTCTGGTTGGTCTTTAGTACACAGATAAAGGCTTTCGGACATCTATCTGTGTGTAATTAATCTACATTATGTGTCTCCATTAGTGATAAAGTTCTTGAAATAAATTGACTTTTGAGTAATATTATTTATTAAGGAGGAGGGGACATACTATGATCTGCTCCGTGTAGCCTCAGAGAAAACACTGAGAGCAGAGGCGCAAAAAGTGGGTATGCAGCGTATGCAACGCATAGGGGTGCAGCACCAGAGGGGGGGGGGGATTTATGTTTTCGCATCCACCTGAATAATGTGCAGTTGCGCCACTGACTGAGAGTTTTCCCACATCAAAGTGGGCACCGCTTGCAGTATCCTCACATGCCAAGACCAAACAACCCGTTGTGAAAGCCAGATAAAATGACACTGAGGTTAAAAACTACTGCGGACTCGAGAGATAACATCTCCTGATATGTGTGCTATTCCCCACACGCAATGCAGCAGGTTGAATGTGGAAGGGCAGAAGGTTGCCTGTTAAGCTGAGGTCAGTGGGATTTATTACACAGATTAGGTGACAGCTGATGCAATACCGCCGGAGCTTGCCGCTACTCTATTGTATTTTTTGGGGCAGGAAACTAAAAGCAAACATGTAGTTTACTCCTTTAATGTTTAGCACAGAGGGGAAAAAAATCACATGACTTCAAGTTTTGGCTAGTTTGTTGAAGCAGCAGTTTTAAAATTGAGATGTGGTCATCTGTTGACCCTATTATTTCTTAGTGTACATCATACATACACACCTGTTAGGTGCTAAGGATAGCAGATTTGATCTGACTCAAATGATTGTTTACACTCTTGAAACACTTTATTTGCTCTTGAGTTTGCAACCATCCTTTCAAGGACTTTACTATTTCGAATTCTAAGTGAAGGTTGAGTGGAAGGAAAAAGTGTGGCTGAAAAAAAAAAGCGCACAAGAAACATGTGTAATCAGAGCTTTGAAGATTGTGAAGTAAAAGTCAAGTAGAGGATGACCCAAATATGTTGCTGTTGAATAAACCAAGACTTCTTAAACGCTGCAGCTGATTACCTTCATACTGTGACATATTGATACAATAATTAAAGCAAAA